TAAAGGGAAGAGAAGAGAAATTAGCCTAAATTGGACTGCCTTCTATAAAGTTAATAAAAAAAATGAACACCCCCATATAAGTTAAATAATCACATTTTTTTTCCCCACGATAACACAGAAGTTTTGTAGTGAATTTCAATCAATGTAAAGGGACTTTTTACCCCAAATCCCTTTGAATTCGTCACCAATGTATATCTATCCTAGTAGCACAGAATAATTTCTAAATATTTGTTTGTAATCTTTGCCAAACATTTGCGACAGATTCATCAAGATCTCGTGTAGATGTCATTCGAAGATATGTAGATAAGATAAGCGCGACTCGACTAGAATATCCCTATAAAATGTACGCGTGAGCGCCCCCAAACGGTAACTAATGGAACCCTAAATGAAGTAAAGTGGAAGGAAGCCTTGGCAGATTTTTCTCCAGTCCATACTGGAACTGTTAGCGATCTAGGTTTATAGGGTAAGTCCGGGATAGTTGGACCATGTTTTTTTAAAGTCATTTTTTCTGAAACTTCGCAATGTCTAGGATTTGGTATATTTTTTTATAATATGTATGTATGACCGTGAACAATTGTAAGCACTTCTCCAGCTGTTACACTAATCACACTTGAAGTTATGATTTTTTATTTTTTTTTTTTATTCGGTAGTCCATATATCCCGGGGGTACTCGGGTTAGATGGACCACCTCCTAGGGATTGATGGACCTCTGGTATACGTTACTAAATCAGGGTGTAACACAAGAAATACATGTTATCAAAGGTATAAATATTGTTTATTTCAAAGTATAAAGTTATAAACTGCTTGAAAAGTGATTAGTATAGAGTTATAAACTATTTGAAAAAGGATAAGTAAATTTGATAGTCAATATACTTAGAAAATATAGGTAGTCTGATTGATATTCACATGGTTCAGAATGTTTAATCATTCTGCAGTCATCTTCTTTCCATTTCCATTGGTCCATCCATCCATCCATCCATACGTCCATTTATATAGAAAGTAAAGCCCTAATAGGAGATATGGTCCGCCTATCCCAGGTTTTTTCAAGTAGTCCATCTATCCCAATTGTCGGGGATAGATGGACCAGTTTCCCGTCCAGACAAACAACGCTACCGGCATGCCATTTTAGGTCAAGATTGTACTCAGTATACACTTGAGTTATAGGATTGATTTTACGTCGAAATCATTTAAACTAACTTAACCACATATCAAATAAATCCAGTATAAAATATTTGTCAACTCACCAAAAGAAATAAACAAAGTTTTCTTCTAAAATACGCATGAAACTCATGAGCAAAACTAAGCGTGGTTCCGTCTACTCAAGAAGAACAACTTCAGACAACGACTGCAGCGCCCCTGTGACACCCCAGCCAAATATTCGACTAGTCCGTCTATACCGGTCGTCCATATATCCCGGACTTACCCTATATAGAAATCTGTGGTTTAGAATTTAACGTTTCCAATATGGCGTATCCCGCAGATGCGCGATATACGTATATATCCGGTAGGTTATAAACGTCATTTAACGCGCATGTAAAAATGCAAAAATGTTTAAAGAATAATGTGACACCTGCATTAGTAATTCTTTCGACTTATCCCTGTTTAGTATAAAAATTTCTAACCAGATTTATTATTTTCTACTTAGAAATAAAGGGGCATAATATACTTCGCGCTCGCGTAGAAAACTAGGGACGTATTATACGTTGTAATATACGCGTAAAAAACCTGTATGTTATCCCTAATAGCATAGAATATTCTCTAAACCTGTTTTTTTGTAATCTTTACTAAATATCTCAAGTGACAGATTTTTTTTAGATGTCTCGTAGATTTCATTTGAAGATATCTAAAATATTTGATGAAATTCTCAATGACAAATTCAGTTTTAATATCTACAGACATATGTCAAAATTACATTCTTTAATTGATAAACATTTAATAAAGATACATTTTTTATTTTACGAGTATTATCGAACCTCTCATTTGGTATAAAAAAACAGGACAAAATTTTGCAATCTGTTTTTTCTGCTATTTTATTATGGCAGCAAAACGTGTGATTTTGATTTTAAATATTATTAAAACGTTTCTAACGTATTCGGTAAATAATATTTAAAAAACACTTATATTAAAACTAAACGAAAAGTTTTGTATAACCATAAGAAAAATATAACGAGAACCCGTGGAGCTAGTATTACATAAATATTATGAAAATAATATTCCGAAGTAAATGTTTTGCAAATACTTCACGTGTCTGTTAAATCTTTACAAAATGTACGATATTCGCTAAATATATCGGAAGTATGAGGCGAACATTTTGCGGTACTAGGGACCTGACGTATTATACGTACTCAACCCTGATTCCAGACCCCCGGGGGAGAAAAAGAGAGAAAGAGGAAGAGATACGATCCGCATGAAAAGTCAGCTGACGGGCCGTGTAAAAAATTCTCACGCGTCGTTGCGAAGGTTCGAGGGGGTCTATTACGTAAAGCAACTTGAGCGAAAATGTAAAAAATGAGTAGTTCACGGTATTACGGAACGTTTTTGGTGGTGAAAATGCGAGACCATTCATATGAACTGGCTCGGCACAAATGTTTAAACGAAACGGTGAAGCATACAAGAAAAGGTAGAAAAATAAACGCCGTGAACGCCATCTTCCACGGATTGTGACACCGGAATTCAAAATGGAAAACCTCCTGGGTGTTTTGATATTTGCGAACAATCGTATTCGGGGACGTAATAATAGCCTTATTAGAAGAAGAAGGGAATTACGTGATGCCTCAGACCCATTTTCGTTAGAAGAAAGAGAATTTACTAGGATGTACAGGTTAGTTTCTGTTATTGCGAGGTTATATTACATTATTAAACATTGAAAACCGTTAAATAATTCATGCTTACATGAGATGATAGGAAAATTATATCGTTGAACTTCTAATTATAGTACATGTAAATATTAATGTAATACATATTTAAAAAATATAGATAGACGCGAGTCCTCTTCTTTACTTTTAACGGCTTTGCATCTTCCCCCCTTTCCTGCCTATAATTCACTACCTCTCAACAATTTCCGATTTACAAGGTATGTATGTACCTTTACTTAGCAATATTACTAGACCGGAAGTGCTAGTGATCTTGTTCTTTCATATACCGAATATGTAATTCGGCGAATGAACCCATGTGAGATGAAAGTGCGAGAAGTGAGCGCTCTCGTGAAAAATACGTAATAAACGCCGAGATCCCCTCTTTGGAGGAGCCTGCTAATTATCTAGGAATTCAAATGGGACGACGGCGTTCCCGACTTGGATCGAAAATATTCCGTCGGCCGGGAACGCCGGCGTCACCTCGACGTCGCGCGTAAAAGCTCTTTGCATAATGATTTCTCCCTCGCGTTTTGCCTCGCCCACTTTCTCGGCCGTTTCTCCCTCTCTGTCTCTGCACCGGCCGCAGCTTTCCGTCTCCTAACTCGACTCTTATTCTAGGATCGGTCTTCGAGCGGCGCGAACGAGGAGGGACCCGGAGGACAGGAGCGTCCAAGAGGTGCGAGGGTACACCTGCCCCGGGAGGGGAACTGCTACGACCTCTCCGTGGCCGGGCGGAGAATTAACGGAACACTTCCGAAGAGGAGCGCCGCCTGGCAGGTAAACGAGCAATTATCGTTTCCACCCGTGCCTCGTCTTTTCATCTACGACCGATTGGAAGGCCTTTCGATCGTTTACGGGGATACGCTTAAGGTGAAGTGAAACATCCTTCAAATCAATCGATTCGAATACAACACTTTTTTTTAAGGGTATTAGACCAAACCGTCCGAAACTTTGACACATCACTCCTGATCATCTAAGAATTGTCCTGACACATTCAAAATTTGGATTTTTCAAACAAATTTTTTAACTCAGTCCACACCAGAACCAAAATGGCCTCGAGCTCTCATATTTCGATCAATATACAATTATCGAAGACTCTGATATGAGAATTGAAAGGGTCAGGACAATTTTACGACAATATAGAACATTCTGGTAATCGATAAACTCTCATTTGAACGGGATAAAGGCAAAAAAAGTGTTGCATGCGCTTCTTTGCTAAAACGATGGTAATACGAGGTCTCGGAGTGAAAATTTAATTGACCTGGAAATCACAGATGGCGCAGGGGTCCCTCCGCAGTCAATTAGGGCCCCAGAAGGCATGAATTCAGAGGATTTCTGGAGTTTTACTTCGATTTCTTTATAATTACTGTACGAAAACGACAGGTGAAGTATGCCATTCGGTACAATACCCAATATAATTCGACACAGCTGTAGATGTAAAAACGAACGTCAGCAACGTAGATATTTAGAAAAATCTTACTTATCGACGTCGACCAAGTTCCTCGACGTGTTTCACTTCACCTTAAGGTGATATGAAAGAGTCACCCTATATATATATATATCTGATGAAATGATGGTAATACGAGGTCTCGGAGTGAATATTTAATTGACCTGGAAATCACAGATGGCGCAGGGGTCCTTCCGCAGTCAATTAGGGCCCCGGAAGGCACGAATCCAGAGGATTTCTGGAGTTTTACTTCGATTTCACTCAACACCCTCATGACTCATTTCATGAACTTTTATGAGACAAATTTTGATGCTAACTTTGCCTCACTTTGTCTATCCGGGTTCATCACGTAGATCCGAGAACTTTTCTTTTCCCACCCTCGTTACCCGGTCTCATTTTTGCTTCACAGCGAGAGGGTTAAGATGCAAGCGATCCGAGGCTTCTCGAAGCTCCAAGACCCTGCCAGCCTCATCCGGGATTTACCGAGCAGCCGGCTGATGCACTCCTCGACCTCCTCCTCGGTCCCCCAGCTGAAGGGGCTCTTTTTGTTCCGTGGAACCTCGGCGAGACGGTGCTGTATCTGGAGATGCGTCCACCGGAAGACCGACGAGGAGAGGAACTCGTCGATGGACCTGTTGCAGAACTCCCGGACGACCGACTGCGGTTTCCCCGTCGGAGGAGCCGCCCCGGCGCCGGAGATGCCGGAAGCCAGAGGGCTGCCCATCTTCGGGACCATCTTCTCCCTGGCCGCCTCCGGGTGGGCCGGCCGACTACACGAGTACGTCGACGAGCGGCACAAGGAACTCGGCCCCGTCTTCAGGGACCGCATCGGCCCGGTCCGGGCCGTCTTCGTCAACTCCCCCAAAGAGTTCCTCAGGATCTACCGACTGGAGGGACCGACGCCCAGGCACTTCCTCCCGGAGGCTTGGGTCCTCTACAACGACGTCCGACGACTGCGTCGCGGGTTGCTCTTCATGTACGTAGGCTAGGTGAACCGGGAATCCAGTTCGAGGCACAAACAAAATTACCCTGGTAGCACAAAATATTTCTCCTATATTTACTATATATTTAACAAATATCGTACATTTTTTTANATGTTCATAAATTATTGAAACTAAATATGTCATTGAGATTTTCAAGAAATATTTCAAATATCTTCGAATGAAATCTAGAAGAAATCTGGAAAAATCTTTCGCTTGAGATATTTAGCAACGATTACAAAGAAATATTTAGAAATTATTCTATGCTACTAGGGTTTCGATCAATGTCAGAAAATGGCTTTACCGTATTCGATGTTCCTTTCTTGCTTGATAACCACTCAATCGTTCTCTATGTATCTCGAAACAGGGACGGCGAGGAATGGCTGCACTTCCGTAAGATCTTGAACAAACTGATGCTCAGAACTAGCCCTATGTCTTACATGGTCGACCCCTGCGAGGAGGCCGCAAAAGGACTCGCATCAAGGTGGAGGCTTTACGCCGATAATGAAAAATCCGTTCCTGAACTGAACGCGGAACTTTATCACTGGTCCATCGAGGGTGAGTCTCTAGTGTACACAGCGGAGCGTTCTTAAGGGGTTACACCACTTTGACGCACCCAAAAATTACGGTTTTTTCAAGAATTTTTTTTTAAGAGTTGAAACGTTTTTATCCAATTTAAAGTACAGTAAGGTATTATACTACTATTAAACTCGCTCATTGCGAAAATCGGTGACCGTGCGGTGGGCAGGTGTATAGGTGTAAACGCGTTTTTCTTAAAACTGCATTTTAAAAATCGGTGGGCACTCTAGCTCCGCCAATTTTCAATCAATCGTCTTGATTCTTTTTTTATTTTATTCGTGATATGTTTACCCAGCGAAATACGTATGGTTTTTTCAATGTATTGATATTCGCATTTTTTATGCAACATTAATTAAAGAAATTTAGGGCAAAATACGTATCTTTCCTTTCGAATCGATGCCATTTTGTGAAAAATGCATATTTTTGAAAACGGCTACGTATTTCGCTAGCTTTCGGGCTACGGAAACTAATTCTTTTTCGTTTATTGTTCTAACTTAAACCTGGACTGAGTTATCGTGCCCACCGCACGATCATCGATTTTCGCAGCGCTCCGGTAAATCGCCTTTCAAGCCGCCATTTTTGTAAATAAGAAAAATACAAAAAAAAGCATTTTTTTGTTTAATAGTAGTATAATACCTTACTATACTTTAATTTGGATAAAAACGTTTTAATTCTTAAAAAATAATTCTTGAAAAACCGTACTTTTTGGATGGGCAAAGTGGTGTAACCCCTTAAGGTGAAGTGAAACCCCTTCACATCAGTCGATTCGAGTACAACACTTTTTTTTAAGGGTATTGAGCCAAACTGTTCGAAACTTTGACACATGACTCATGATCATCTAAGAATTGTCCTGACACATTCAAAATTTGGATTTTTTAAAAAAACTTTTTAACTCAGCCCAGACCAGAACTAAAATGGCGTCGAGCTTTCATATTTCGATCAATATACAATTATCGAGCGCTCTGATATGAGAATCGAAAGAGTCAGGACAATTTTACGACAATTTAGAACACTCTGGTAATCGATAAACTCGCATTTGAACGGGATAAAGGCAAAAACAGTGTTGTATGCGCTTCTATGCTAAAACGATGGGAATACGAGGTCTCGGAGTGAAAATTCAATTGGCCTGGAAATCACAGATGGCGCAGGGAGTCCCTCTGGAGTCAATTAGGGCCCCAGAAGGCATGAATCCAGAGGATTTCTGGAGTTTTACTTCGATTTATTTATAATTATTGTACGAAAACGACAGGTGGAGTATGCCATTTGGTACACTACCCAATATAATTCGGCACAGCTGTCAATATAAAAACGAACGTCGGCAACGTAGGCATTTAGAAACATCTTCTTTATGGACGTCGATCGAGTTCCTCGACGTGTTTCACTTCACCTTAATAGTGTATGACCAGCTTGGTCGGTATGATAGTAAAAAGTGACGATTCGTTTCAGCCATGCTGGCCACGCTTCTTGGTCCCCTGTGGCACCAGGAAGGCGCCTACGTCATGAAGGAAGCCGGGAACCTGCCGAAGTGTCTTCACAAAATTTTCGAGTACTCGGCACAGCTCTCCTTGTTGCCGGCGCAACTCGCGATGAGACTGAGACTTCCGGCGTGGCGGAAATTCGTAAACGCGGCGGACGAAGCCTTGGGAATCGTCCGAGCTCTGGTCCCGATAATGGCCCGACACAACGCGGAGGGAGGCCTCCTGAAGATGATGATGGACGAGGGGATTCGGGGCGACGACCTCGTCAGAATCGTGGCCGACCTCGTCCTCGCAGCGGGAGATACGGTACGGGTTTTCGGCCATGAACCAGGGACCTGCCCAGGTAGTGGAACACGGGATGTCCATGTGACTTTTCGGTCACATGAGGCACGCAGAAAATTATTTCATTAAATCGATACAATTATTCTTGGTTTAACCCTTTGCGGTCTTGACTCGAACCTGAGTCGACAATTACAAGGCAATTTCAGAAACTCGGACCGCAAAGGTTTAAGGGAATAAAACACTTTTTTTAAGAGTATTTAATTTTTTAAGGTAGTGGAACATGGGATGTTCATGTGACTTTTCGGTCACATGGGGCACGCAGAAAATTATTTCATTAATTTGATACATTTATTCTTGATTTAAGGGGATTTCATGAGTATTCGAACCTTCCTTAAAGCTTCCATACCCACGTGGTGAAGTTTCAATCGATTTGAAAGATCGAAGAAAAATTTTACAAATAATTTGACAACTCCAGACCACTTTTATGTCCCCTTAAAAAGGCCAATTTTTGGTTACAAAACATCTCGCCTCAAATGGCGAAAGAGGTGAACGGAGTTCATGATATTAAAGTGAAGTGAAACCCCCCTCAAATCAGTGGATTCGAATAAAACACTTCTTTTAAGAGTATTTAATTTTGTAAGGTAGTGGAACACGGGATGTCCATGTGACTTCTCGGTTACATGGAGCACGCAGAAAATTATTTCATTAACACGTTGAGTGCGGCGTCGGTCCCTGGGGACCGACAGTGAACTTTCCGTCTGGGCGGCGTCGGTCCCTTGGGACTGACACGGCATCAAGAATCCTATATATAAAAAATTGTGCCGCCCAAACGGAAAGTTCAGCAAAATCGGTTCCGCGCTCAACGTGTTAAATCGATACAATTATTCTTGGTTTAAGGGGATTTCATGAGTATTCGAACCTTCCTTAAAGCTTCCATACCCACGTGGTGAAGTTTCAATCGATTTGAAAGATCGAAAGAGAAAAGAAAAATTTTATAAATAATTTGACAACTCGGGGATCACTTTCATGTCCCCTTAAAAAGGCCAGTTTTTGGTTGCAAAACATCTCGCCCCAAATGGCGAAGGAGCTGAACGGAGTTCATGATATTATGGTGAAGTGAAAACCCCCTCAAATCAGTGGATTTGAATAAAACACTTCTGTAAAGAGTATTTAATTTTTTAAGGTAGTGGAACACGGGATGTCCATGTGACTTTTCGGTCACATGGAGCACGCAGAAAATTATTTAATAAAATCGATACAATTATTCTTGGTTTAAGGGGATTTCATGAGTATCCGAACCTTCCTTATAGCCTTCATATCCACGTGATGAAGTTTCAAACGATTTGAAAGATCGAAGAAAAATTTTACAAATAATTTGACAACTCCAGACCACTTTCATGTCCCCTTAAAAAGGCCATTATTTGATCACAAAACATCTTAGCCCCAAATGGCGAAAGTTTTGAACGGTACGTTCATGATATTAATTCAATTAAATATTTTTCTGCGCGTATAACACTATATTTTCATCAGCGAATTCTGGAGATATGAAAGAGAAAGAAATAATTTGTGTAACAATTTCCCGCAGACTGCGTATTCCATGCAATGGGCGCTATTCCTGCTGGGAAGCCATCCAGAGATCCAGGAAAGACTTTACGGTCGTATCAAAGGACTCAAAGGAGAACGATTGCTTCAAGACTCCTTCCTTAAGGGGGTCCTCAAAGAGACACTTAGGTTATACCCTACGGCTCCATTTCTGACGAGATACTTGGCAGAGGACAACTTCATCGGGGGCTACAGCGTTTCCAAGGAGGTGACTTCGTCTTGCTATTACGAAAAATTTACCTCCCAGGGGAAATTAAGATGATATGAAAGGCGCTGAAGAATTTAATCGAGGTCGATAAATTAAAATTCATCTATACCCTTTTTTGGTGGGAACGTCGTTTTGAATACTAAAGTGGTAACATAAGTTGGCGCGTCCCGTTACCGACATTTATATTTATGTTGAAGTCATTTACAGTCTACGTTGAGAATCATACGAAATGGAGTGTTTCATATGCCATTTCGGTAAAGTATTGATGAAGATATCGACATAAAACTGTCGAAATCCCATGAATTCATTATTCTAACGGCCGTTTAGGACCAACGGCGCCATCTGTGTGTTTCTCGCGGTAAAATTTGAAGCGAATCGGTACACCCCATTCGGAGAATACTTTCCCCAACGATTTGACCTCTCAGATACATATAGGTTGACTCTTTCATATCACCTTAAGATGATATGAAAGGCGCTGAGGAATTTAATCGAGGTCGATAAATTAAAATTCATCTATACCCTTTTTGGTGGGAACGTCGTTTTGAATACTAATGTGGTAACGTAAGTTGGCGCGTCCCATTACCGACATTTATATTTATGTTGAAGTTTTTTGCAGTCTACGTTGATAATTATACGAAATGGAGTGTTTCATATGTCATTTCGGTAAAGTATTGATAAAGAGATCGACATAAAACTGTCGAAATCCCATGAATTCATTATTCTAACGGCCGTTTAGGACCAACGGCGCCATCTGTGTGTTCCCCGCAGTAAAATTTGAAACGAAAATTCGGGGAGTACTTTCCCTAACGATTTGACTTCCCGGATATATACAGGCTGATTCTTTCATATCACCTTAACGATTCGTTTTCTTGATGCACTTCTGGACAACGTCGGTATATATTAGACGTGCTCCATTCTTGCGTAACATTGCACATTCTTGCGTCATACTGCTTGCAGGACCTGATACTGATGTCGCTCTACTCCAGCGGCCGGGACTCGTCAAATTTCGTGGAGCCCGATGCGTTCCACCCCGAAAGATGGATCAGGACCGAGAAGGGAAACTACGACTACATGCCAAATCCTCACGCCAGTCTTCCCTTCGCCCTTGGCGTCAGAAGCTGCGTCGGGAGAAAACTAGCCCAGACTCAAATGATGCTCGCCATAGCAAAGGTGAAAAGTGTAGTACAGTTGGTTATCCTCCTTACGCATAAGTACAGAAAGTACAGCCCCACCAAGCACACTACATTGCAGTTACATAACACTGTAATAACACGATATATAACGAATGTTAATCAAAAGATACATTAATATCATATAACGTCGAATCATTCCCTAGTAGCATAGAATAATTTCTAAATATTTTTTTGTAAATTTTGTAAATATCTCGAGCGACAGATTTTTTAAGATTTCTTCTAGATTTCATTCGAAGATATTTGAAATATTTCTTGAAAATCTCAATGACATATTTAGTGTCAATAATTTATAAACATCTAAAGAAATATTTTTTAACTTATTAACATAATAAATATACATTTTTTACTTCACGACTATTATCGGACACTTCATTTTGTATAAAAAAACACGAGAAATTTTTCTAACATTTTCGTCCCGCTATTTCATTAATTCAAAACGTGTAATTTTGATCTTAAATATTTCCAAAACGTTTATAACGTATTCGGCAGATAATATTTAAAAAACACTTGTATTAAAATGAAACGGAATGTTTTGTACATCTGGTAGAAAAATATTATGAAAACACATGGAGCTAATATCATATAAACATTATAGAAATAATATTCTCAAGTAAACATTTCGCAAATATTTCAAACGTCTGGTAAATATATACAAAATGTACGACATTCGTTAAATATATAGAAAATATAGGGCAAATATTTTCTGCTACTAGGGCTACCGTTCGGTAACGTTGTTACAAACTTGTTAGCATTGCAGTTATATAATATTAAAATAACATATAACATGTCATCGGTATGTTACGTATACGTTACATTATTCCTTTTATAACAGTGTTATATAGCCGCGGAGGAAATAGTAATACAAATCTTAATTATATATCATATGTATATTACATTACACGTTATGTAACGGTTATGTATTGTTATGTAACCGTGTTTGGCGGGGCCAGCCCGAACAAACCTATGTTTGTTCTAGAGCCGTGTAAATGGAACAAATTCGTTTGTTCTTGCAGCTCGTAGAAACGTTCAGGATAACCTGCACCAACCAGGACCGGGTCAGGATGATCCTCCACCTCATCTCCGTGCCCTCGGAACCCATCCAGTTGAGTCTGACCCGAAGATGACCCACGTATGAAGAAGCCTTGAAGAAGAGACGTTTCCGCCTGCCCGTTGGGGCTTAAAATGGCCATTTATTAAAATTCTTGACCAGAAGTTAATCGTTACTTCCTAGAGTCGATTATGCCTCCGATATAATTACAAGGCTTAATTCTGGCGAAGATGACCCACGTATGAAGAAGCCTTGAAGAAGAGACGTTTCCGCCTGCCCGTTGGGGCNGCGGACACGGATGATACGGATAACGGGTTCATTCTCGGATCGGCGAAAAAAAACACCGCGGTCCTCCACTCCTTGCTGCCTTGACCAAGACGAGATCATTGCCTATCATTCATTGCTGCTGGGACTGAATATCGACGTCATTGGATGGCACTCGCCTGGGTGGAGGCCGATTTTTTTTTATGAAAGTGGAACTTTGAATGTATTGGGATATGCATTTGGAGAGAAACTCTGCTGAGTTTTTTTTTTGTGGCGATAAAGAATGAGAGATTAGATTCGTTGCTGCCTTGAAGAAGAGATCATTGTCTATCATTCATTGCTTCTGGGACTGAATATCGGCATCATCGGATGTCATTCGCCCGGTTAGGGTTCGAAAATGTTTCATGAAAGCGCAACTTTGGATATATCGGGAAATGCATTTGGCGCGAAGTTCAATTCATTCAGTTTTTTCATACCAAATGAAGTGTCCGTTAATAGTCGTGATGTAAAAGAAATGTATTTTTATTATATGTTCATAAGTTAAAAAATATAATTTCTGTATATGTTTATAAATTATTGAAACTGAATATGTCATTGAGATTTTCAAGAAATATTTCAAATATCTTCGAACGAAATCTACATGGCATCTTAAAATATCTGTCGCTTGAGATATTTAGCAAAGATTACAAACAAATATTAAGGATTTGTTCTATGCTGCTAGGGTAACAGGCTTATTTCAATGTTCCTGTCATGTAGATCTTTCTGCCATGTTGAGTTTTGCTTGTGCCATTTCTTTTTGCAAAAACCAGAGCAGTTAACCCTTTGAACACGGAGCCATTTCGACATATGGGCGAAATTCGTCTGACCGTGCAATATTGGACCAAACGTCGGGCGCCTTTAGGCGCTCTAAGGAACCAAAGGGTTAAAAAAAAGAAAAACAAATTCCGAAAAATACCATGTTAACGTTTTTGACATTCTGGGAAGCTCCGAATTTTCTTAACGAATATCGCACATTTTTTAAATATTTACCAGACATTTGAAATATTTGCAAAACGTTTACTTTAGAATATTATCTTTATGATATTTATATAATATTAGCTCCACGGGAAGTGCTAGTGATCTTGTTCTTTCATATACCGAATATGTAATTCGGCGAATGAACCCATGTGAGATGAAAGTGCGAGAAGTGAGCGCTCTCGTCAAAAATACGTAATAAACGCCAAGGAGACATAACGCCAATGGGCGGTTCCACAGAAAGTGACCCCAAAATCGGGACCCAGGATCTCAGATTTACTCTGAAAAAAATGCAGAAAAATCGTCCACTCTCGATGCCCTCGTTAAAGTTGACTTTACTCATTCAAAAGGTTCAAAAAACGACATTTGACACGCCAGGCTGAACATCGCAGATAATGACTAGGTCTGAGTTTGGCGCCTCTATATATATATTTGGCGCGAAACTCTACCGAGTTTCTTAATCTAACGATGCGAGCGCTTCTTGCGGAAAATGAGGGAACTCCAATCCTACATGAGCAAAACACTTCCTACCGACGTAAATGACCCAAAATGCTTTTAATTTTGTAAGTAAGGTACGTAAAGCGAACCTACAATCCGTACATGATATACCGAATGTGATGTTTTTAACCCATTCACTGCCAAGTACGACATATCTCGTAGTAAGCGTATGTACCAAAGATCTCAGATTTACTCTGATCTAACGATGCGAGCACTCCTTGCGGAAAAGTGTACGATATTCCTTAATTGTACGGAATATGCCCTAGTAGCATAGAATAATTTCTAAATATTTCATTGTAATCTTTGCTAAATATCTCAAGCGACAGATTTTTTCAGATTTCTTGTAGATTTCATTCNCTGACCCCCATGAAATTTGATTTTTACTAAAAAATTTAAAAAGTACCTATAAACAAATTTTTAAACAATTTCATGGGTATAAGGACCTTCCTTATAGCCTCCATATTCACGTTGTAAACTTTGAAACGATTCGATACACCCAGTTCAGAGAAAAGTTTGATAAACTAGACCTTTGTGTCGCCACTTTCACATCCCCTTAAGAGCGACGATTTCGTATGTCTATCACAGTTATCAATGTTCCGAAATGGGGACCGACGTGTAGCAACGTCGCGCGCGGACATTAAACGGACGTCACTCGATGCGTACGTATTGTAGGATTATTTCGCAGTGTTACAATGGTAATATAGAACGTAACAAGACGCGTGTCAATTTCCCTCGTGCACTTCCCATACGCTCTGCGGAAAGTCATCCATAGGCTCGCGATCGCATTCCCATGGGGTCTCTGGCGGCAAAATTTACCAGCCTCTACCTGATTTCGATAAAGTAGTGATTCGGCGAGTCGAATATTTCGCTGACTCGAATTACTTGAATTCGATAACCGAACCAACTCGAATTTGGACTCGACGATTCGGTGAAGGAAGGGGGTACGTTTCCGTGTTAGTGATGGGACGAGTCGAATATTTTACCAAGTATTCGAGTTACTCGAATTCGGAAGCATTGCCAACTCGAGTTTGGACTCGAGTCAATAACTCGGTACCACGTACATTCAATGCGGCGAGTAGAGTCTATGGAGAGATGAGTAAAGCGACTCGATTACCCACGACTCGAGTCGAAGCGATGTAACGAGTCAAGTACTTCATCGAATCGAGTTACTTGAATAGTGCCAACTCGAGTCGATGACTCGATGCAGCATACGTAAGGCGCGACCAGTCGAGTCAAAGACGAGTTGATAAGTAAAACGACTCGATTAATGGCGAATCGAGTCGAAGCGATTTAACGAATCGAGTACTTGATCGACTCGAGTTACTTGAATAGTGCCAACTCGAGTCGATGACTCGATGCAGCATACATAAGGCGCGACCAGTCGAGTCAAAGGCGAGTTGATAAGTAAAACGACTCGATTAATGACGAATCGAGTCGAAGCGATTTAACGAATCGAGTACTTGATCGACTCGAGTTATTCTACATGGCCAAATCGTGTCGACGACTCGATGCAGCATACATTCGGCGCAATCAGTCGAGTCAATGGCGAGTTGATGAGTAAAACGACTCGATTAACCGCGACTCGAGTCGAAGCGATGTAACGAGTCGAGTACTTCATCGACTCGAGTTACTCAACATGGCCAACTCGAGTCGAGGACTCGATGCCATATATATTCGACGCGATGAGTCGAGTCAATGGCGAGTTGGAGAGTAAAACAATTCGAATAACGATTGCTTGAATAAACAGATAAGGCGTGATTGGTATAGCGGTCAGAGTAACTCGGTCTCACTCCTACCCTCGTGACTCGCATTCGTTTGTACCAATAACTCGAGTTACAATAAAAATGACTCGAGTCGACTCGAATTTAACGCGTAGAAATAATCAATTCGTCATATCCTCGTAACTAATAATGCGACTGGTTGAATACTTTATCAACTAGAATTACCCGAGTTTGGATTCGGTGAAGGGAAAAGGCGCGACGAGTCAAGTTTATGGCGAGTAAAATGACTCGAATAACGACTCGTGTAGACGAATAAATGATGCAAGGAGTCGGAGTACATCTTTAACTCGAGTTACTTGAATGGTCTTGAGTTTAGACTCGAGTCGACGACTCGGTGAAGGAAAAAGTAACTCATTCACGGACTTTCGACGCGACAAGTCGAGTCTGTGGTGAGTTGGGGAATTAAACGATTCGAGCAAACGAATAGTAATGTGACAAGTCGAGTCATTTATCGTCTAGAATGACTTAAACATTCCCAACTCGAGTCGATGTCTCGGAGAAAGAAGCAGGAACGTGCCATTCGACATGGCGATTCAAATTTATGAACAATTGCCGAGTAAAACAACTCCAGTAAACAAATGAAGTTTGGTTGACGTCTCGGTACGCGTAACTCAGTCTTGTCTCACCCCCATAATTAGCATTAATGCGTACTAAAAATTCGAATAACATTAAACATGGCCCGGGTTGACTCAAATACATGTTTGATGCGAGAGTAACGAGTTGAAATATTCGACTCGTCATTTAACTGTGATAAAGATTTGATTAAACTCCGATACTTTGAAATGTACGGATCATCTCACGTATGGCAATATTGTTGGTCTCCGACGTAAGATATATGGATTCCGCAAGCCGATCTGCTGTACGAGTAGCCATATTGAAAGACAAAAAAAAGGGACGGTGCCTTTTCGTCTGATTGTTTAAATATCTGTACAGCGCAATATGGCGATTAGCTGTAGTGATGTGACCATAGGTTTGTTCGTTTTGCCTACACTTTCTACACTTTTACGAAAAGTGTACAATTTGGCGTTCGTTTTGACGAAAGTGACGAAGATATCGCTGTTCGTTTTGCGAGGGCATCTACCCCGAGGGTACACGTTTTGCCTACACTTTCTACACTTTTACGAAAAGTGTACAATTTGGCGTTCGTTTTAACGAGTGACGAAGATGTCGCTGTTCGTTTTGCGAGGGCATCTACCCCAAGGGTACACGTTTTCTACACTTTCTACACTTTTACGAAAAGTGTACAATTTGGCGTTCGTTTTGACGAGTGACGAAGATGTTGCTGTTCGTTTTGCGAGGGCATCTACCCCAAGGGTACACTTTTCTACACTTTCTACACTTTTACGAAAAGTGTACAATTTGGCGTTCGTTTTGACGAGTGACGAAGATGTTGCTGTTCGTTTTGCGAGGGCATCTACCCCAAGGGTACACGTTTTCTACACTTTCTACCCTCGACCCCAAGCAAAGGCAAGAAGGGTAGCCCGCGAATTTGGCGGCAAATTTGAAAATTGAAAAGACCAACAAACAGGAAAATACAAAATTTATGCTAACATCTCAACGTAATATAAATACAAGTAATTATTAATGCATCTTCCTCGTGTATGGAACGATTTAGCGTTTTAGTTCTGTACATAATGTTTGAAAAAATATACAGTAATTATATATAACTACGTAACCGCGGTTGGAATGAACTAAACTATAATTTTTCATTGTCGTAGTTAAATTGTTTTCCATTCCACTGCAATAATATTCTGACCCTTATTGATTCTCGATACCTGAAATTCGTGAAAGGAATTTTCATCTTCTACAATTACAATGTAATAGAACGAATTGTAGCATTTGAAGAAAACGAAGGCAGCTCAAGAAGGAAGGCTAGAAGAAGCATTACGTTTTCGTATTCGTCATCGTCCGATACGGATAGCCTCAAAATCGCGTACCTCTTTACTAAATCGTTCATCTTGGACTTTCGTGAGGTTGCTGGTGTTCGGGACGTCGATGAAAGTGTATCTACCCTTCTGCACTTTTCAAGAAAAGTGTAGCACTCTCGTTACCCTCGAGGGTAGAAAGTGCAGTCAACGCGAACAAACCTCATGAAATAGTATAAGAAGAGATAACGCCTATGGTCGATTCCACAGAAGTCGTTCCAAAGAATCGGGACCCAGAATCTCAGATTTTCGCTGATCTAACGACGCGAGCGCCACTTGCGGACAATCGGGGAACTTCGATCCTACATGACCAAATCAGTTCCAACTGACGTAAATTACATAAAATGCTTCTAATTTTGCAATTAAGGTAAGCAAAGCGATACGATAATCCACGGATGATATACAGAACGTGATGTTTTTAACTTGTAAATGTCATTTTCCTTGTCTCGGATGACATGCCGGACAAATCTGAGACAATTTGCCGCGCCTGATTGTTCCTCCACATTTGTATGCTCGTTCTGCCTCGCATTGCCTTGTACACGTCGCTTATTGATGCGTACACGCCTTAACATGGTCTCATCACGCCCGCAACTTGCATTCGTTAGTCCCAATCAGTCAAGTTAGAATAAAAGTGACTCGAGTTTATCGAGTTGTAATATTCGACTCGTCGCATTACCAGACTAGCTATTTAACGCATAGAAACGTAGGAGAGAATATAAGGGAGGGATTTTCCCTGTACATACGGACGCAAAGAGAGTCAACCGACAACAGAAACGCGAATGTTATGTTTTAATGCGATGCGCCGCGGCTCGCCCTGGGGAAAATGTTCGCAAGCCTTTGCACTACGTCACGCAGCTCCTGTAGCAATGTCCTCTCCACTTGTATAAAGAGAGAAAGTATAATCCCAAGTTCGCCCTCTTTTATTCTCGCTCCAGTCACAAGAACATCAAGGGAGCGACCTGGTGGGTCCACCTATCCTACGTCCATGGTTCTACAATGTCCACGAGTACTACATCCGTACAGATCGGTCCGCCTGGATTCATCGTCCCACGTTTAGCGACCACCGATCCCGTGACCCAGCAAAGTTCCAAGATCTCGCAAGCGAAACTCCTTTTCAAGCTTCCCCGAGCCCGGTTCACAGTCTGACGGAAGCGTCTTCCTCGGCGGGAGTCCCCGTGAAAAGCTAGACAAGATTGCGGCCCACTTAGCGCTGGCACAGTGCCCCGTTGATCATTTTCCGAAGGTCCTCCAGGAACTCGTCGAAGGTCTCGGTGTAGGTGAAGTTGCAGAAGGCCTGTACCCGCTCGTCGTCGGTCATCTTGGCGGTGAGGAAGTTCTTTATGCAGCAGCTGCGGAACTCGGGGCAGGAGTTGTTCCTGGCCCAGTTCCAGGCGCGCGAGTAGTTCTCGTGGTTCAGGCTGGAGATCGAGATCTCGGTCAGGGTCTCGAGGACCTCGTTCATGAGATACTGGTCGGCGATCAGCACCGCGTCGAGGAGGCTCTCGATAGCGCAATGATGGAAGTTGGAGCCATTTGCCGCCAGGAGGAGCGTGTGTAGACCTTCCCTCGACGCGTTCTTCAGTCTTATCCTGGGCTTCCCCGACTCGAAGAAGTTCCCCTCGAGCATCGCGAAGAAGGGCTCGGATGTCTGACAGAGGATCTTCCTGCAGGCGTCCACCGTTGTCCCGTCGTCCAGCACGAACGTCACCGTAGATGGGATCGGCAGGTCTCCCGGGAAATTGGTACCGCGATCGGCCATGTTCCCGGTCTCCTCCATCATCTGGCACTTGCCGACGCTTTCCGGCTTGATGTCCAGCGTGTGGGCCAGCCGGTTGATCGACCAGATCGCCTTCTCGTAGAGGGGGTGCTTCCGGTCGTTCAGCACCCGGAAAATTAACGCTAATCCCCCGTGGGTACCCAACAAGGTCCGCAGAATGTCTCTCGACTTTATGAGGAATGGTATGGAGATGGCGGTCACGAATTTTTGGGATTCTTGCCCTCGGATCAGGAGCGTTGCCAGCTCCCCCACTGCTCCTCCCGTCTCGGCCAGTTTGCACATCTCGAATATGTACTGCTCCGATCCGTGGAGCGTCTCGGCGTCGAAGACGAAACCCTGCGTTATCAGAGATACCAAGTATGCCTGATTCCTGAAACAAACGATGCGCGAGTATTCCTATGTGGCTTTAATGGAATCCTGATATCGCCTTCTCCTGAAAATTAAGGGAGCTCGTGCTCAATGATAGGGTGGAAATACTTATTTTTCTGACAGGTGCGTGAAAATGTGAAACACAACATGCAGATACAGCTTAACACATTCGCGACCGGCAAATTTTTTCCCTTTCAAATACCGTGTACCGGCGAAAATAATGAAATCCTGAAATTGGTTGCTGCAAACTTGTATCGTTAAAGGATGTTATCACGTCAGCAGCAATCAGGAATAGAATATTAAAAGAGAATTCACGTCAGCGGTCGCGAATGTGTTAAGGTGACATGAAAGAATCAGCCTATATATGTGCCGATAATTATGAAAGTGGTCTAAGTCAAAATTAAAAAAAAAAAATGAGTTTATCAGTTATTTCACGCCATATTATTTCAAACGAAATTAATTCAATGTAATTTCGAAACAAAAAATATATGACATAGACCACTTTCATAATTATGGGCACATATATATACATGGTCTGTACTGAGTTAAACAATTTTTTTGAAAAATCCAAATTTTTAATGTGTCAGGGCAATTCTTAGATGATCAGGAGTGATGTGTCAAAGTTCCGGACAGTTTGGTCTAATACCCTTTAAAAAAAGTGTTGTATTCGAATCGACTGATTTGAAGGATGTTTCACTTCACCTTAAACCAATGCGATTATACATAAGTGCACATTACATGTCAAGGAAGAAAGGTAATCTTGTACCTGACGATTCCACCGAGTATTCTGACTGCCATTGGGTTTTTGGTAGATTTAATATATGCCGTTAAAGGTGCGATCGTCGCAGGTTTGGCAAACTGCTCGATTGGTTCGTCCGAATAAGTAAGTCGGCACAGCAGCGCCAAACTTAACCCGTTGACGTATTCATTAACCCCGGATCTGGATACTCTCTCAGAGGGTTCATCTTCGTCTTCTTTCACCTCGGCTGTAACCGACGTCATGCTCTCCAATGACGCAACTTCTTGTGAATCTGCATAATAATTACAACATAAAGCAATTTCGTGAACAATTAAGGGGAGGGGAAAGTGGCGTGAAAGGGGTCTCGTTCATGAAACTTCTCCCCAAATTGGGTGGTACCCAATCGATTCAAACTTTGCAATTTAAATATGGAGGGTATAAGGAACGTCCTGCAACTCGTGACAATTCAATTTTTTGACATTTGTTTATAGATATTTTTAAGATTTGTTGTAAAAAATGGAATTTCACGAGTGTCAGGACCTTCCTTATACCCTTCACGTTCAGGTTGTAAAGTTTGAAACGATTCGGTGCACCCAGTTTGGAGAAAAGTTTTATAAATATGTTGACGTTCTGATGTATAGAATGACCCTTTCATGTGCCCTTAAGGGGATGTGAAAGTGACATCCGAGGGGTAAATCATTCATGAAACTTTTCTCCAAACTGAGTGTACGAAATCGTTTCAAACGTTACAATCTGAATGTAGATGATATAAGAAAGGTCCTAACACCCATGAAATTTCATTTAAAAAATGTTTAAAATATCTATAAACAAATTTTTTTTAAATTGAAATTTCATGGTGGTCAGGAACCTTTCTTAAAGCCTCCGCATTCACGTTACAAAGTTCGAAACAATTCGTTACATTCAGTTCGGAGAAAAATTTCATAAACGATATTTCTTTGACGCCGAAGTGACATCCGTCGATCGTTCATGAAACTTTTCTCCGAACTGAGTATATCAAATCACTCCAAACTTCACAATGTGGATGTAGAGGCTATAAGGAAGGTCCTGATACCCATGAAATTTAATTTTTAATAAAAAATTTAGAAAGTACCTATAAACAAATTTTTAAATAATTCCAATTTCACTGGTATAAGGACCTTCCCTAAAGCCTCCACATTCACGTTACAAAGTTCGAAACGTTTCATTAGACTCATTTCGGAGAAAGACGCCGAAGTGAGATCCTTAAAACAATTCGAATCACTTAAAGATGACCGCATTTACCTTCCTCGTTGGCGATCCAATCGGTGTCGGTGCAAACAGGGCTGTATTTACCTTTAGTACTTTCATCGGTTTTGGTAGTACCATCGGAGGATAACGGTGGACTGCTAGGCAACCAATAATCCGGATGATAATCTAAACTAAACCTGAAATGAAACATTTAAACGGTACTACGGTCACGTATATTGAGAGAAAAAAAGAAATGGCGTAGGAAAGATTTACCTTCCACTGTTCGACCTACTGTACTTAGAATTAGCGTTCCCACAGGACAAAGAATCATTAGAGCGTTTCTTAGTGCCCAATTCAGCTTTGGTATTCGCTGCCACCTCCACCGCCATTGTTTTCAAGTTCGAGACAAGTACATCGAGCAGGCCATTCTTGACCATGATCGAGATGCTCTGGTTGTCGTACAGAAACTGTGCCAGTGCCGACAGCAGCGCCGAGTGGTACTTCTTATTATCATAATTCTTCAGGATGGATAGCATCGTCTCTATCCCTTCGTTTAATCGAACTTTGGCACGGTTGATGGCTTCTCGACAGAAGAGACACAAGCTGTCAAGTAATTCCCAAGATCCAAGGGGGTTTTCTTTTATCAAACCGACGACGCACTCGATGGCGCCCGAATTCCCCAAGCCTGGACGACACTCCGCCACTTGGCACAAACTATGGAGGCATTTAATAGCCACTTTATTCCGCAATGCGCAATACTCTACTATCCGCTTGTAACCTTCCACGTTAGTCTCGGCTCGCATTTGATCTCTGTACCGTGGATCCAAATTTACAACAAAGGTACACATGGCTTTCATACATACTTCCGACAATTCGTTACGTTTCGACTCCTCGGCAGCTGCGGCCTTGGACGTTACGAACACATTGGTGATAATTGCAATTGCACGAGTCTCTAAAATCTCCTCCCGACTGCTCTCGAGGATGCACCAAATTTTCCTGCAAAGGGTAATTATGAATTATTATATATTTATTTAGAAACCGGAGCGAGCAAGGATAAGTATCCCAGGTGTACCTCACCGACTTTCTTGATTATCATGTATTTGTACGCATGTACGAAAACAGTTTTTGGGGATCAACTTTGAGTGGTTTTCCTTCCTTAAAAATCCTTGGATTAACACGCAGAAAAAGATAACTGCATCTTACTTTGTAGCGCACTATAGCACATATCGGAACCAAGAAAACCGGTGAGATATACCCGAAATACTTTCCTCGTTAGATCCACCCATCGGCGCTCCGTTTACCTTAAAGCTCGGATAGCCGTTAAATAGGTTTGACTCGTGCACTTGAGTTTCAACAAATTGGCAAGGACCTTTACCGCACCTGCTTCGCACAAAGACTTGGCATGCCATTTGCACGAAGCTAGGTTCCCGACGAGTCTACACGCACGGCAGCATAAGATATCGCCTAATTTAACATTCTTGAGTATGGTCAGGGTGTAAGCCACTATTTTTGTTCCGTGTACCTGTAACGTAAGAGTGGGCGTTAAAAATACCACGTCGCTTAAACAAATCGCAGCTGTCAACAAGTGAAAGGGGATTAAAAATGAGATACCGTATCGAAGTAAGTTAATTAAGGCGACTAGTCGGGAGGATTTTGAAGAATACCACCACACTTACGATAAATATGCTATTCTGTCAACCGTGTCACGTTGACGTTACTTACTCGTTGACGAGTATCAGCTGACACGCAGGCATCTGCCAGTACACTAAGCACTACATTTAGGATCTCCTTATTCGGATAGTGGAGTAACTCGATCAAAAGTGGAAGACCTCCGCCGTTAATGAACTTCTCGCAGGACTTTTTGTTCCTTTTAATACGTGTCAGGCGAGAGGCGAAGTCTCCCTCGAGGTTTAGCTCCCCGTTCTTTGACAGCTCGGCCACGATAGGACATTCCGACTTTTCTATCGCGGATGACATCTCTGCCGCGGAGCCCGTCAGTTTTCAGCCAATTGAAATATTATTCGGCATAACCTCGAAATTTGGAGGTATGCACAAGAACTTGGGAACAGGGGGACGAACCATACAGCTGAGGGCGTGATGCCCACGAACGACGGCCACTCTCGGCCATCGAACGTTGTGTAACGTCATCCCTCGTTTCCTGACATTTGCGAGTCCCTTGGCTCGATTTTTCAAGGAGATCATCATTCCGCGATATCATATCCTTTATTTTCAGGTGTACTTTATTGAATAACCCCTGTGACAGGCTTTAAAATACAACATTATAATGAAACATTACATAGCGGTACAGTGGTTTGCTTCTTTACCGATCGGTCAATATGACGGTGCTTGGTAGTTCATACATCTGAATATGAAGAAGCGGGCTAGGAGAAATTTGGAATGACTCGGTGGTGCCATCTCGTCACTATCAATGGAACCACCCTTCATAATTCCCCTGGCTAGTTTCTTGTTTCTTGGATAGGTGGCAGGACGAACCCTTCCCTGAATTAGTCGCGAATTTTAAATTCAAATCAGATTCCCGTCAGCACTATTGACTACGTCTTCATCGTACTCCTCGATTTGGGATTTATCTGGTCCGGACTGAGTAAATAGTGTCTCCATCATATTGACTACGTCTCCATCGTCCTCGAAATCCGGAATTTACTCGATCCAAACCCAGTCAATCTAAATTTAAGTGTCGATCAAGACACTCAGGGTGTGTATTAGGTATTTTTGACGAGAACACTCACTTCTCGCACTTTCATCTCACGTGGGTTTATTCGCCGAATTACGTATTCGTAATATGAATGAACGAGATCACTAACACTTCCGGTCTAGTAATATTGCAAATAAAGATATATACCTTGAAAATCAAACATTGTTGAGAGGTGTGGGTTATAGGCAGGAAAGGCGTTAAAAGTAAAAAAAAAAATAGCAGGAAAGGCGGTAAAAGTAAAAAAAGTAAAAGGAAAGCCGTTAAAAGTAAAGAGGACTCGCGTCTATCTACATTTTTTTTAATATGTATTACATTCGTATTTACATGTACTATAATTAAAAGTTCAACAATATAATTTTTTATCATGGCACGTAAGCATGAACAGTTTTCAATGTTTAATAATGTAATGTAACCTCGCAATAACGAAAACTAACCTGTACATCCTAGTAAATTCTCTTTCTTCTAACGAAAATGGGTCTGAGGCATCACGTAATTCCCTTCTTCTTCTTCTAATAAGGTTATTATTACGTCCCCGAATACGATCGTTGGCAAAAATCAAAACACCCAGGAGGTTTTCCATTTTGAATTTCGGTGTCACAATCCGTGGAAGATGGCGTTCATGGCGCTTATTTTTCTACCTTTTCTTGTATGCTTCACCATTTCGCTTAAAAATTAGTGCCAAGCCAGTTCATACGAATGGTCTCGCGTTTTCACCCCCAAAAACCTTCCGTAATACCGTGAGCTCCCCATTTTTCACATTTTCATTCAATTTGCTTTACGTAATAGAACCCCAGGACATTCTCCTCGCATAAAACTTAAGCGAATTTCCGCCAAGAGCGCTAGCTGTACATCGTGACGTCATGCGCTGTAGAACATGCGTAGTCGACGACTGGAAGAAACAGCCAGCTACATGACCATACTTATCGGAGCCCCTGTAGAATTTTCCATTAGATGCAATACGTACGTACATCGGGAAAACGCACAAAACCTATAAATGTCGAGTTCTTTTGTCGTGTAGTACAATAGATACATGTTTTATAATGAATTGCTTATTAACAATGACTTTCTTTCTTTACGTGAGGTATGATATTTCTATCGAGGCCCGGCACCCGGTGACTCTTACGTTCGACGTTCCTGCGATAGGGCTGCTGACGTCAAAATGCTGCTGCAGTCTCTGCTGTGCAGGGACTTCCGAAGAACGGTACAACCACGGCGATTACGTCACAAGTGCTACGTCACAACTATTGCCCTTGCGTGTCGCTACGTGGCAGCCCAGTCAACCCGTGCTTTTTTTAAACGTACCATACCTCCTTAAGGTGAAATGAAACACGTCGAGGAACTTGCTCGACATCGGTAAAGAAGATTTTTCTAAATACTTACGTTGCCGACGTTCGGTTTTATATCGACAGCTGTATCGAATCATATTGGGTATTGTACCAAATGGCATACTCCACCTGTCGTTTTCGTACAATAAATATCAAGAAATCGAAGTAAAACTCTAAAAATCCTCTGGATTCATGCTTTCTGGGGCCCTAATTGACTGCAGGGGAACCCCCTGCGCCATGTGTGATTTCCAGGTGAATTATATTTTCACTCCGAGACCTCGTATTACCATCGTTTTATCACAGGATCTACCGAACCGATTCAAACTTTACAATATAAATCTGAAGCGTATATAAGGAAGGTCCTGACCCTCATAAAATTTCAATTTTTCCAAATTTGTTTATAGACATTTAAAAAATTTGTTACAAAAAATGAAATTTCATGAGGGTCGGGACCTTCCTTATAGCCTCCACATATACATTGTCAAGTTTGAAACGATTCGGTACACTCAGCTCGGAGAAAAGTTTCATTATCTTTCACTTTCCCATCCCCTTAAGGTGGTGGTCTCGTTTATGAAAATTTTCTCCAAACTGGGTGTATCGAATCGTTTCAAACTTTACAATGTAAATCTGAAGGGTATAAGGAAGGTCCTGACCCTCGTAAAATATCAATTTTTCAAAATTTGTTTATAGTTTTCAATATTTGTTTATATTTAAAAAATATGTTATAAAAAATGAAATTTCATGAGGGTCAGGACCTTCCTTACAGCCTCCACATATACATCGTCAAGTTTGAAACGATTCGGAACACCCAGTTCAGCGAAAAGTTTCGTGAGCGATCGAGCTTTCGGATGCCACTTTCACATCCCCTTAAGACGGGCTTTTCTCGTCCTGGAGGCAGACAGGGGGACGTGCGTCAGTTTCCGAGAAAAGCCCGACTTCCGGGGGCGATTATTGGGGGTTCCTCGAGCGGCCGCTCGGAGGGGCGGCGCGCGTCGGCGCTTTCCCTGCGCGGCGTGGGCGTCGGAGAGGGACCGATCGATTCGAAATCCACCGCCCTCTTCGGAGGGTTTTCCAGGCCTCCGCGTTTCCCTCGCAGCTCTCCCAGCTCCAGCAGATCCGAGCCTGTCGAGCGCGTCGCGCGCACGAAACGCGGACCACCTCTCGACGGCGGCGCGTCCTGCCCGTCCGACGATCTCCCGACGACTCCGCGTCCTGCCTGTCCGACCATCGCGAAACCGGCGCTCGCGGCGGGCCTCGTGCATTTCCGGGCATCTTCGGGCGTTTCCGCGGCTTTCGGGGAGAAGCCGCGAGCCGACCTCGGCTACCACACGTGGCCAGCTCCCACTCGGCGATGCTCGACTAGGAACCCCGTCTCGCCCAGGTAAGGACACACTTTCCGGCCTCCGGTCGACTCCGCCGGCGGATCGATCGATTCGCCCGGCATTTTCTCTCTCTTTCCCCGTCGCGTGCTCGGCCACTTCCCTCCCGAAGGAGGGAGAGAGAGAGAGAAGGGGCCGGCGTCGCGCGCACGCGACAACCTGATGCTTCCGCGGCGGGCCTCGCCTCTCTCTTTCGGCCAGTTCCTCGTCAGGATAAACAAAGATACCCCGAGATAAGCAAACCGTCCAGAGGAGGAAAGTCCCCCGAGGAAGATGTCCGATCTTGACCCGTGAACCACACTCGCGGGTGGAGGCTCTCTCGAGGCCCTCTTCGCGTGCGTCGCAGTGCGTCGGTCTCGACCAGGGTGGGACCCATCGTGTTCGTTCGATTCCTTTCAGGAAGACCCCATGAACCCAGGAAGGCGGTGGCGAGGAGCTCCAGAGCTCTTGCTGCTCTGTTTATTTTATGGGGCCGTTTCGCCTGCCACCGGAAATGGAGCAGTCGGTGAGTACGTGGTTACTCTGTTACTTATCGACGGACCGTCCCTGCGTCCTGGTCACTCGGTGTACCGGTGGGAGCACTCGAGATCGAATTAACGCATTCGCGAGCGGCACATTTTTTCCGTTTCAAATACCGAGTACCGGGGAAAATAATGAAATTCTGAAATTGGTTGCCGCTAACTTGTGTCGTCTATCGTTATGGACGTGATTCACGTCAGCGGCAATCAGGAATAGAATTTAAAATGACGTGAATTCACGTCAACGGCAACCAGGGGTAGAACTTGAAAAGACATGAATTCACGTCATTTTAAACTCTACGTGAATTTATAAATCAGACGTGAATTCACGTCTTTTCAAGTTCTATTCCTGGTTACCGCTGACGTGAATTAAGGTGAAGTGAAACCCCCTTCAAATCGGTCGATTCGAATACAACACTTTTTTTAAGGGTATTAGACCAAACTGTCCGAAACTTTGACACATCACGTTTGATCATCTAAGAATTGTCCTGACACGTTGAAAATTTGGATCTTTGGGAAAAATTTGTAACCTCAGCCCAGACCAGAAACAAAATGACGTCGAGCTTTCATATTTCGATCAATGTACATTTATCGAAGGCTCTGATATGAGAAACGAAAGGGTCAGGAGAATTTTACGACAATTTAGAACACTCTGGTAATCGATAAACTCACATTTGAACGGATAAAGGCAAAAAAAGTGTTGTATGCGCTTCTATGCTAAAACGTTGAGAATATGAGGTCTCGGAGTGAAAATATAATTCACCTGGAAATCACAGATGGCGCAGGGGGTCCTCCTGTAGTCAATTAGGGCCCCAGAAAGCATGAATTCAGAGGATTTCTGGAGTTTTACTTCGATTTATTTATATTTATTGTACGAAAACGACAGGTGAAGTATGCCATTTGGTACAATATCCAATATAATTCGATACAGCTGTCGATATAAAAACGAACGTCGGCAACGTAGGCATTTAGAAAAATCTTCTCTATCGACGTCGACCAAGTTCCTCGACGTGTTTCACTTCACCTTAACGCATTCGCGAGCGGCACATTTTTTCCGTTTCAAATACCGAATACCGGGGAAAATAATGAAATTCTGAAACTGGTTGCCGCTAACTTGTGTCGTCTATCGTTATGGACGTGATTCACGTCAGCGGCAATCAGGAATAGAATTTAAAATGACGTGAATTCACGTCAACGGCAACCAGGGATAGAACTTGAAAAGACATGAATTCACGTCATTTTAAACTCTACGTGAATTTATAAATCAGACGTGAATTCACGTCTTTTCAAGTTCTATTCCTGGTTTCCGCTGACGTGAATTAAGGCGACGTGAAAGTGGCGTCGATGAGGTTATGTTTATAAAACTTTTCTCCCAATTCGATTTACCGAATAGTTTGAAACTTTACAACATGAATAAGGAGATTATAGAGTCACACATATTTGAGACAGCCAGTTCGTAGAAAAGTTCAATGAACGATTGAGCTTTCGGATGGCACTTTCACACCCCCTTAACGTCATTTTAAATTCTATTCCTGATTGCCGCTGACGTGAATCACGTCCGTAACGATACACGATACAAGTTTGCGGCAACCAGTTTCAGAATTTCATTATTTTCCCCGGTACTCAGTATTTGAAACGGAAAATATGGAGGGTAGAAAGTGTAGAGGAAGTGTACACTCGGGGTAGGTGCCCTCGCAAAACGAGCAGCGACTTCTGCCTCACTTCTGTCTAAACAAACGCCAAAGTGTACACTTTTCGTAAAAGTGTAGAAAGTGTAGGCAAAACGAACAAACCTAATGGCGCCACCGGGCGTGCTTGAAATCCTCAAAATAAGTGCGCAGCGAGAACAAGGAACACTTCAACCGGACGATAAGTCGACTTCCGTTGATAACGAAGCGCTGCAACCTCTTTGGAGACTAATTTCGTGGAACCAGGCAGTACTTTCCTCGGATGTGCGGCATACATACAATATTTGCGACCCATTTGTACGAACTTTAAGGTGAAGTGAAACACGTCGAGGAACTTGATCGACGTCGATAAATAAAATTCTTCTAAATGCCTACGTTGCCGACGTTCGTTTCTATATTGACAGCATAATATTCAGAATGTGATGTTTTTAACACGATAAAGACTAGCGGACCCGCCAGCAGATGATAATTTTCAATTGCCAAATTTCATCGAGGAGGCACTCTCGACACTAGATCGGAATAAAAACTAAAGATCTTGAACTCCTAAAATGGTGAACATGAAGTAGTATAAAGAGACATAACACCTATAGCCGATTTCATAGAGAATGACCTCATAATCGGGACCCAGGATCTCTGATTTTCGCTGATCTTACGATACGAGCGTTCCTTAAGGAAAATGAGGGAACTCCAATCCTACGTGACCAAAACATTTCCCACCGACGTAAATGACCCAAAATGCTTTTAATTTTGCAATTAAGGTACGCAAAACGAAACGATTATCCGTGCATAATATTCAGAATGTGATGTTTTTAACACGATACAGTCGTAAATTACTTAAAATGCTTTTATATTTGCAATTGAGGTACGCAAAACGAAACGATAATCTGCGCATGATATTCAGAATATGACATTTTCAACACGATAAAGACCAGCGGACCCACCAGCAGACGATAATTTCGAATTGCAAAATTTCATCGTGGAGGCGCTCTCGGAACTAGATCGGACAAAAATGAAGATCTTGAACTACTAAAGTTGGGACCATAAAGTAGCATAACGCCACGGGTCGATTCCATAGAAAGTAACCCCAGAATCGGAGTCCAGGATCTCTGATTTTTGGTGATGTAACGACGCGAGCGCTTCGCGCGGAAAGTGAGGGAACTACGATCCTACGTGACCAGAATATTTCCTACTAATGTAAATTACCTAAAATGCCTTTAATTTTGCAATTAAGGTACGCAAAACGAAACGATAATCCGTGCATAATATTCAGAATATGATGTTTTTAACACGATAAAGACGTAAATTATCTAAAATGCTTTTAATTTTGCAATTGAGGTACGCAAAGCGAAACGATAATCCGTGCATAAAATTCAGAATGTGTTTTTAACACGATAAATACGTAAATTACCTAAAATGCTTTTAATTTTGCAATTAAGGTACGCAAAACGAAACGATTATCCGTGCATAATATTCAGAATGTGATGTTTTTAACACGATACAGTCGTAAATTACTTAAAATGCTTTTATATTTGCAATTGAGGTACGCAAAACGAAACGATAATCTGCGCATGATATTCAGAATATGACATTTTCAACACGATAAAGACCAGCGGACCCACCAGCAGACGATAATTTCGAATTGCAAAATTTCATCGTGGAGGCGCTCTCGGAACTAGATCGGACAAAAATGAAGATCTTGAACTACTAAAGTGGGGACGATAAAGTAGCATAACACCACGGGTCGATTCCACAGAAAGTAACCCCAGAATCGGAGTTCAGGATCTCTGATTGTCGGTGATCTAATGACGCAAACGCTACGCGCGGAATATAAGGGAACTACGATCCTACATGACCGAAACATCTACCGACGTAAATTACCTAAAATGCTTATAATGTTGCAATTAAGGTACGCAAAACGAACCGATAATCCAGGCATGATGTACAGAATGTGATGTTTTTAGCGCGATAAAGACTAACGAACACTTTAATAGATGATAAATTTGAATTGCAAAATTTCATCGAGGAGGCGTTCTCAGCTCTAAATTGAAAAAACTCTGAAGATCCTGGACCCCTGTTGTGGGGATGATTTCAAGACATGGCGTTGTATCCCCTCATACTACTTTGTGGAATATATATGATATGAAGCATGATGGAAAGGAAACAAGGTGTGCTCTCACGGTAGTCCTATTTTTTTACTTGTTCTGCGCCTATCAAAATATTGCCACGTTGTAAAATATTAAGGTGAAGTGAAACCCCGCCCAAGTTACTCGATTCGAATCTTTGGATTTTCGAAAAAAAATAAAAATGTTTTGACTTAGCCTAGACCAGAATCAAAATGGCGTAGAGTTCTCATATTTCAATCGATATGCAAGTATTGAAAGCTTTGACATGGGAAATTAAACTGCCAGGACAATTGTACATCAATTTACAACACTAGTAATCGAGAAGCTCGCATTTAAACGAAATAAAGGGTAACAAAGTGTCTTATGCACTCCTGTGCAGGAACGAAGGTAATACGAGGTCTCGGAGAGAGAATTTAGTTGACACGGAAACCACAGATGGCGCAGGATGGCATCCTGCAGTCAATTAGGGCATCAAAAACCATGAATCCACGAGATTCCTGGAGTTTTACTTAAATTGCATTATAATTATTGTACGGAAGCCACAGATGGAGTAAGGCATTTAGTACAATACCCAATATAATTCGACACAGCCGTCAATTTAAAAACGTACATCGGCAACGTAGGTATTTAGAAGAATCCTTTTTACCAACATCGATCAAATTTCTCGACGTGTTTCACTTCACCTTAGGACCCTTACGGATATCTCACTTTTATCGTCAAAAGGCGTATTTTAGAGCAATGTTAAAAGCGACCCTACTAATGCCGTGCCTTTAAATCACTTTCATAAAAATTCCTTGAAGCTTCAAAAGACGTATTTTAGTAGCAGTACCTCCTCATACCCTCTTTTAAGCTTCTTTTTCAGCTCTGTTAGGATAAAAATGAGTGACGTTTCCCTAAAAGTGGGTAGGGGGACTCTTATACCGCTTTTAGCTTTCAAAATCATATATTAAAGTTTGGCAACCTTGAGTTGTCAAAATCGTACATGAAAAATTGAGTGCATTACCGACATTTTGGAAAGAATTCTTGGAAAGAAATTTTTCTGTGTCTAGAACAGCAGGATTTGTCTGCATAGCTGTACTGAATAAGTTCTCACAAGGAAACATTCCCAAGTGTCCGCCCCCGATCTTAATGATTTTCATATATGTTGAAGAATACAAAAATCTAAGAGACACGTGTTTTTTTGTATCTGCAATGGTCCACATTTAAGGGGTGAAACAACCCCCCAAAAGTTTGGCGAAAATTCAGTTTTTATAATAATTTTCGTAGAAGCAATGGAGGGATTTCGACGAAACTTGGTATAAACGTATTCTGTATAAGGACGGTGAAAACACAATATTGTTCAGCAATGCTACATCCCCCCAAGGAGGTGAACTACTCTTCAAGCGACATTTATTTGTAATTTCTATTACACAAGCACTCCTACTTAAGTTCCACCTACGCGATGTGATTGCTCACAAAAAATGAAATACGTGTTTTTTGCTTTTTGCCAATAAACATTTACACATCGGTTGTAAACAATGAATGTAGGTGGTATACGGGTATATTTCGACNTGTCGTGCACTCTGGAACTGTAGCTCGAATAATGAACGATCCAACTGTTAGCCGACGTGCCGGACACGTCGATTTTGTTTCTGCGACAAATGCCTAACGATGTGGTATACATGTCGCTGGCAGTTTTGGAACAAAAGCATCTCGACGTGCGTGGCACGTCTTTATAGCGCAAGTGGTTAAGGCGATGTCAAAATGGCGTCAGAGGTCTCGTTTATGAAACTTTCCTCCGAACTGTGTGTACCGAATCGTTTCAATCTTGAGAATGTGAAAATGTAGACCCTAAGGAAGGTCTTGACACTCATGAAACTTCCATATTGTTTCAATTTCTTTATAGTTATTTAGAACATTTTTTATGAAGATGATATTTTATGGGTGTCAGGACCTTCTTTAAGCCTTTATATTCACGTTGTAAAGTTTGAAACGATTCGGCACATCCAGCTCGTAGAAAAGTTTCATGAACGATGGACATTCCGAGTGCCGGTGAATTTTCACATCTTGTGAAACTTCTGAAGTTCACGAGTGAACTTTCATATCCCCTTAGCTAGCGGGTCCGCTAATCTTTATCACGTTAATATCATCACATTCTGTATATAATGCGCGGATTATCGTTTCGTTTTGCGTACCTTAATTGCAAAATTAAAAGCATTTTAGGTCATTTACGTCTTTATCGTGTTAAAAACATCACGTTCTGAATATTATGCACGAATTATCGTTTCGTTTTGCGTACCTTAATTGCAAATATAAAAGCATTTCAGGTAATTTACGTCTTTATCGTATTAAAAACGTCACATTCTGAATATTATGCGCGGATTATCGTTTCGTTTTGCATGCCTTAATTGCAAAATTAAAATCATTTTAGCTAATGTACATCAGTAGAAAATGTTCTGGTCACGTAGAATCAAAGTTCCCTCATTTTCCGCTAGTAGCGCTCGCATCGCTAAATCAGCGAATATCAGAGATCCGACCATTGGCGTTATGTCTCCTTATACTACTTCACGAGTGCATCTAATTCCAAATTTAGCGGTCAATCGTTATTTCGTGTCGCGCGCGACTTATTCTTAGTTCTTTCGCGATCGATCTCCTCACGTTTTCGTTTTCTACCACGCTCGAGTTCGAACATACGGTCGAGGTCTTCTCATTTCCCTTTATCTTCCGTGGTTTATTTCTTTTCCATTCGGCGATTCAACACTTTGAGGGTCAAAGAGTGCAGTACCCGTACTCCGGGAAAAGCACTCGAGCAGAGCAACGTCCAGCTGACACTCAAAAGGGTTGAAGGTGACCTTTCGCTGTATGCCGATATTCCTCGACCGAGAAAACTATATCCCTGTCAAGGAAATAATGTATATAGACAGAGATAGTGTCAGGGTTGTGCAGTAACGCGTCATTCCAGATTTTTTACTTAAAATACTTAAGATTATATGAAAGGGTCATTCTGTACATATAAATCGGAAAATTATTTATGAAATCTTCAGGAAAATGAAAGCCTTATAACTTCAATGTGTTATATTTAAAATTTCATAAAAATGAGGTAAAAACGTCATTAGAATTTAAAAAAGAATATCTTAAGCTGATATGAAAGGGTCATTGTATATAAAAATGAAACGTAAAAATAATAATAAAACATTTCTCCAAATAGGGTGCACCGAATAATTTGAAACCTCGGCACGTGATTATAGAGGCCCTAAGGAAGAACGCGACGCTCATGAAATTTCATTTTTCAAACAAAAATTCGTTACATATCCCAGACTAGAACCAAGGACACATCTTTTTGTTTGAAAAATGAAATTCCATGAGCATCGCGTTCTTCCTTAGGACCTCCACAATCACGTGTTAATGTTTGAAATGATTCGGTGCAGTATGACCCTTTTATATCACCTTAACGTTATGTGAAAGGGGCATTGTATATATATATATATATATTACATAAAAATATTTATAAAAGTTTTCTCTATACTGAGTACTTCAAATAATTTGAAACTTTAGCACGTGATCATGGAGACTCTAAGAAAGAACTCGATGCTCGCGAAATTTCATTTTGCGAAAAAATGTCTTTCTTTGGTTCATGTCCGTAATAAATATAGATTTTTTTTTCGAAAAATCCAATTTCGCGAGCATCGCGTTCTTCCTTAGGGTCTCCATAATCTCGCGACGAAGTTTCAAATGATTTTGTGAACCGAGTTAGGAGAAAAGTTTTATAAACATTTAGACTTTTTGGTACGTATATATGACACTGTTATATCACCTTAACCTGTTAAAAATAAATTCTTAAACGGGTAACGTTACGGGTTACCGACGTGTATACACACCGAACGCAGTTAACTGATTAAAGTGATGTATAAATGAATATAGTAATAATTGCACAAATAGCTGATATCGCCATTCTATACAGTCAAAGGGCATTGTCCCTATATGCATGTGCGATAGCGTGCATGTATGGCTCTCACAGAAATGCATTTGGCGCGGAACATTGCCGAGTTTTCCAATTTCCCTCCCACTCTGCCTCTTCCTCACGGAACCCCCGGAGGGAAAGAAAAGCAACGCGACAACGTGTTGCATATGTAAATCCGACGCACGAGGGCGCCACTAGACCGTAAATCGATGGATACAGGTTGCGTTCGGGACCTGGGGGTCTATTACGTAAAGTAAATTGAGCGAAAATGTGAAAAATGAGGAGCTCACGGTATTACGGTACGTTTTTGGTGGTGAAAATGCGAGACCATTCATATGAACTGGCTAGGCACTAATTTTTAAGCGAAATGATGAAGCATACAAGAAAAGATAAAAAAAATAAGCGCCGTGAACGCCATCTTCCCCGGATTGTGACACCGGAATTCAAAATGGAAAACCTCCTGGGTGTTTTGATTTTTGCAAACGATCGTATTCGGGGACATAATAATAACCTTATTAGAAGAAGAAGGGAATTACGTGATGTCTCAGACCCATTTTCGTTAGAAGAAAGAGAATTTACTAGGATGTACAGGTTAGTTTTTGTTACTGCGAGGTTATATTACGTTAATAAACATTGAAAACTGTTAAATAATTCATGCTTACATGACATGATAAGAAAATTATACTGTTGAACTTCTAATTATAGTATACGTAAATATGAATGTAATGCATATTTAAAAAATGTAGATAGACTCGAGTCCTTTTCTTTTTAACGGGTTTCCATCTTCCCGCATTTCCTGCCTACAACCCACGACCTCTCAGCAATTTTCGATTTGCAAGGTATGTACCTTTATTTGGCAATATTACTAGACCGAAAGTGCTAGTGATCTCATTCTTTCATATAGCGAATACGTAATTCGGCGACTGACCCCACGTGAGATGAAAGTGCGAAAAGTGAGCGCTCTCGTTAAAAATACATAATAAACGCCCTGCGCCGAGCGCAGTCGTCCTCGGTGGCCCTCGAAGCGTTATCGAGCCGTGCGTCCCACGCACCGGCCGCCATTGCTCCTCCTCCCTCTTCACCACCCACGCCGCCGCGTGGCTTTGCCTTCCGCCTCGTCGATCTCCCTTCCGCCGGCACTCTATTGCCCCGCCAAATCCCCCTGGCGGTTAGGTTTGGAAATTGCAATGGCTTCCTCCCACGCCTGGTTTCCCCGGGACGGGACGCGTGCCTCCAGCGAGATCTCTTCGTTCTCTCGTCCGCTCGATATTGGTCCGTTTCTGCGGCTACATCGAATGGCTTCCCGCACGCGCCGCGGGGCGGCGCGCGCGGTCTCTTCCCGGGACTAGAACGCACCTTACCGACCCCTGACGTTAAGGTGAAGGGAAACCCCCCTCAAATCAGTCGATTCGAGTACAACACCTTTTTTAAGGGTATTAGACCAAACTGTCCGAAACTTTGACACATCACTCGTGATCATCTAAGAATTGTCCTGACACATTCAAAATTTGGATTTTTCAAAAAATTTCTTTAATTCAGCCCAGACCAGAACCAAAATGGCGTCGTGCTCTCATATTTCGATCAATATACAATTATCGAAGGCTCTGATATGAGAATCGAAAGGCTCAGGACAATTTTACGACAATTTAGAACACTCTGGTAATCGATAAACTCGCATTTGAACGGGATAAAGAGCAAAAAAAGTGTTTTATGCGCTTCAATGCTAAAACGATGGGAATACGAGGGCTCGGAGGGAAAATTTAAGTGACCTGAAAATCACAGATGGCGCAGGGGGTCCCTCTGCAGTCAATTAGGGCCCCAGAAAGAATGAATCCAGAGGATTTCTGGAGTTCTACTTCGATTTCTTTATAATTATCGTACGAAAACGACAGGTGGAGTATGTTTAGTACAATACCCAATATAATTCGACACAGCTGTCAATATGAAAACGAACGTCGGCAACGTGGGTGTTTAGAAACATTTTTTTTATCGACGTTGAAATATAAAGTACACGGAGTGTATTATGGAAACTTTTGTAATAAATATTGATTACAGGTCTTCTCACAAGTTCTCGAAAAATTCTCGGGTTATCGGTCGAGTACTATAATGTTCGTTGTTACGTTCTCCTCTTTAATTTTATCGGGAATTATAAAGAATGATGATTTTTTTCAGGTTGCCTTTTCAGCGAGAACCTCTGTCTACCCGAAACGGAATTTTGCTATGACGGTAAGACAAAAAGAGATCCTTGGGAACTCCTTTCAATCTCTTTTATCTTTTTCTCGTCTATTTACATGTACGCATGTTGCTGCAACTTTAGTTATAATAACATTTCATACGACGTTTAATTAATAATATTATTCCGTTTCTCTTTTCAGATCTTGCATTTGGACGATGCATCTCGCTCGAGTCCAACAGGGAGGACGAAGATCTATTTCAGTGAGTCGTTTCATATAATTAAGGTGACATGAAAGTGTGATATATACATACCAAGATGTCAAAATATTAATTCAATTTTTTTCCAAACTGGGTGCATCGAATTATCTAAAACATTAACACGTGATTATGGAGACCCTAAGGAATAACGCGCTGCTCATGAAATTTTTTTTTTCTACTTATCTCGAACAAGTACCAAAAAAAGATATTTTTCTTTTCGGAAAGTGAAATTTCACGTGCAGCGTGTTATTCCTTAGGGCCTCCATAATCACGTGTTAAAGTTTCAGATTATTCGGTGCACCCAGTTTGGAGAAAAGTTATATAAATATTTTGACCTTTGTTATGTATGTATCACACTTTCATATTACCTTAATGTCATATTCACTAGACTACCTTAAGGGGATGTTATAGTGGCTTCCGAGGAGTCAATCGTTCATGAAACCTTGCTCCGAATTGGGTTTCAAGTCTAGTTTCAAACTTCATAATGTAAATATAAAGGCTATATTGAAGGCATGAAATTTCATTTTTTTCTCAACAGTTTAATATTGTCCATAGAGAAATTTTAAAAAATTGAAATATCACGGGTGTCAGCATCATTCACGTGGAAAAGTTTGAAACGAATCGCTATATCCAAATCGGCGAATCCATTCCTTATCGTTTTGATAAGCTCATGGAATTGATCTCTTTGTTGCAATTTGTCGATAATTACTGGACATCATTTAACCGCAGATACAATTTGGGGCTCGCGGAATTGCGACTGCTGAGACTGGAACTAAAGAAATTGGAGACCGCAGGGTTCAAATGGTCCCACCCTTATTCTCAGTGCATCATTCAGAGTACCTTATATTCCATTCGCCTTGGGTAAGTTACGAATTCAAGTACACGGTAATATATCAACGATAACAACGCATTTGCATTTTAGAGTTGAACACGACCTCGAGAGCTGCGAGTATTCCAGAGAGAGCAACAGGCACCGATTCATCAATTTGCCGGAAGATAATTCGGTAATTAAGCAACTCGGTAGAGTTTCGCGCCAAATATATATATAGGGGCGCGAAACTCAGACCTAGTCATTATCTGCGATGTTCAGCCTGGTGTGTCAAATTGGACAATGAATGTCGTTTTTTGAACCTCTTGAATGAGTAAAGTCAACTTTAACGAGGCCATCGAGAGTGGACTATTTTTCTGCATTTTTTAAGCTACGAACGAAACCGATTAGTTCATTTAATATAGTATATTATAGTAGTGTTACGAGTCGAATAAATGATTGAGTCGAGTTACTCGAATTCGAAAGCATTGTCAACTCGAGTTTGGACTCGATTCGGTAACTTGGTGCAACGTACATTCGACGCGATGAGTTGAGTCAATGGCAAAGTTGACGAGTAAAACGACTCGAGTCGAAGCGATGCAATGAGTCGAGTACTTCATCGAATCGAGTTACTCGAATAGTGCCAATTCGAGTCGAGGACTCGACGCCGCATATATATTCGGCGCGATGTGTCGAGTCATTGGCGAGTTGGCGAGTAAAACGACTTAATTAACGGCGACTCGAGTCGAAGCGATGTAATGAGTCGAGTACTTCATCGACTCGAGTTACTCGAACTTTACCAACTTGAGTCGATGACTCGATGCCGTATATATTCGGCGCGACGAGTCGAGTCAATGGCAAGTTTGAAAGTAAATTAATTCAAATAACGATTACTCGAATAAATAAATAAATAAATAAGGCGCTATTGGTATCTCGGTACAAGTAACTCGATCTCCCTCTTACCCTCGTAAAATTGGCTTTCGTTTGAACCAGTAAATCGAGTTACAATAAAAATGACTCGAATACCCGTTTGACTCGAGTTTAACAAGTTAGAATACTCAACTCGTCATAATTAAAATTCAAAAACTTGACATTGAGGCAGACAAACAGTTTTTACCCTCTTTTACGTCATTTTCGCCACTGTGCGACATTGATTAAATTTCTCGGTGTCTCTCATGCCACCTGACAGAGAGGGCGAACTAAGAGATCGACGATCTTGAAAACAACTAATGCATTTTCATTTTCAGCAGCCTCTACCCATAGCCGTGGTCAAGTTCAAGCCCAGCGAAGGAAATCCCCACGGCGACTACGCCGACGAGCTGTACTATCCCCCGGAATTTGAAGAGCACCTCGGTCGCGGCTTCGTCGGGTCCAGGACTCTCGAGAACCGATGGTCGCCCGAGGGGATTCGAGAAAACTACATCCCGGACTCGGCAGACGTCTTCAACGAGCCAATCCCGAGGAAGCTGTCCGAGAGAGTCGTCGAGATGCCGTCCAGGGGCTTCCGGAACTCGGAGGACGTCATCGATGAGGCCTTCGAGGTCCAGAGAAGACCCCACAGGAACGCCGAAGTTCCCTTCGAGCGGAGTCGGGATCCTGAAAAGGAGAGTCGGTTCTTCAGGGCCATCGATTTCGACTTCTCTCCCCGCTCTGCCGTGGACTTCTCCTCGAGGGGAGGTCTCGGGGGCAAGGGTGCTTCGGGAAAGGTGGAGGAAAGGTTCAGGGCGAGAGGCAAACCCGATGGAGCGAGGTACCGGGTACGACCGGAGGCTCCATTCGTTCTGGAGGACCCTGAGAACTTCCAGGACGAGGAGGAGACTTCTGGGACGATCGGGGACTACCAGGATTACGATGGAGATAGACAGGTGGACCTGGAGTTTCTGACGAGGCCGGTCCACGGGGATGCTGCGATCCGCGCTAGGGAGATGTACACCGAGGGGGGTCCAGTGGAGTCTTTCGCTCGTGACGCCGATAGATCTGGTAAGACTCTTCGTGAAACGGAAGCATCGCCTCTTACAAGGAAGGTATCCCAGGTCGATCTCTCCGATTTCATTTCTTTTACAATATGTTGTAGTAGAATAAAAACTAAGCGACACGTATTTTTTTTTATCTGCCATTAAACACTTTAAGGGGGTGAAACCACCATCCAAAGCAAGGCATGTCAAGGGGCGATTTGGCAGTTTCACCCACAAGAACATGATACTTTTTAACCAATCCAACCTGGAAAAGCTTTCTCATAACGAGAAATGAAAAATATAATTTTCTGAATTAAAAAAAAAAAATTAAGGGGTGAGCCACCCCTCACAGGCCTTACTTTGGATGGTGGTTTCACCCCCTTAAAGTGTTTAATGGCAGATAAAAAAAATTACGTGTCGGTTAGTTTTTAGTCTACTATAACATATTATAAAAGAAATCAAATCGGAGAGATCGACCTGGGATACCTTCCTTGTTAGTGGTTCGTACGCAGATGCAAAACCCGCTTTAAGGTGAAGTGAAACCCCCCTCGAATCAGTCGATTCGAAGAAGATACTTCTTTTTAAGGGTATTGGATAGAACTGTCTGAAATTCTGATATGACTTGTGAGCATCTCGGAATTATCCTGACACATTCGAAATTTGAATTTTTGAAACAAATTTTTTAACAGCCCAGACCAGAACTAAAATGGCGTCGAGCTCTTGTACTTCGATCGATATACAATTATTTAAGGCTCTAATATGAGAAACGAAAGTGTCAGAACAATTGTACCACAATTTAGATCACTCTGGTAATCGAGAAACTCGCATTTGAGCGGGATAAAGGCAAAAAAGTGTCTTATACTTTGTTAACGTAAAACGATGGTAATATCAGCTCTCGGAGTGAAAACTTAGTTGACACGGAAATTACAGATGGCGCAGGCTGCCCCTCTGCAGTGAATTAGGGCCTCAAAAACCAAGAATCCAGGGGATTTCTGAAGTTTTACTTCAATTACTTTATAATTATTGCAAGCAAACGGCATATTGAATTTGCCGTTTAGTACAATACCCAATATAATTCGACACAACTGTCAATATATATAACAACGTTGGTAACGTGGGTACTTAGAAGAATCATTTTTACCTACGTCGATCAAGTTCCTCAACCTGTTTCACTTCACCTTAAAAATCATAAATACAGGGGAATACTTGAATTCCACTTCGATCTCGTTATAATCATTCTACTGAAACTACGTACGCAATGCAGTACTCGATATAATATAATAACTGATATAAATATCGCCGCTCCATTTCAGACGATCCGGCCGACATCGTATTCGACGACGATTTGGATACTCTTTTACTGAGACGAGAGTTGGCCGGATTTAAACGTAGAGAACGACTCGACGTGAAGAAGCCGGGTCCCCCGTTTGCCACCAACAATTACGCCTTCAAGCCTCAGACGTTGACTGGTAAACATGGCAAAAGTTTTAAACTTTGTTCAATTTAAAAAGAAATGAAATTTCTGTGCACATGGGCCTTTTTATGTTCTAAAATTCCGTGCCTCAAAGGGTTAAGGTGATATGAAAGAGTCATTAAATCTGTACATTTTGCAGATTTTGACTGTAGGATTAACAGATTTTTGTTTTTTTTTCGGTGTGCAATCTTTACGTTTTTAGCCGATTCCGAAGCTGAAAACGATCACGAGGCGCGGGCCGATCGGCTTACGATGACGAAGAAAGAACTGGGCACAGGTGGACGTATAAATGCAGTCTCTCCAAAATCTTACAAGAACGTGGACATGGATCACGTTTACATAGAGTTCAAGCAGGAGTTCCACACGTGGTACGAGGGAGAGCGCATCGTTGAGAAAGTGGGTAACGCGAGAAATTTTCAAGTAACAAATTTAACACATTGCCGGCCGCTGACTTCTTTTACGCCAGCAGTAATGCTTCATTGCGATGATTACATAGGTAGATACCCAGTGAACACTGTTATACAACTGTTGGGTAAATGTTACGTTTTCGAAACTAACAGGTTATGTACCATAAAAGTAACATGGAAGTTAGATGTTAGTTATTATTTCCCCCTCGGTAAGGTAACATGTTATGTAATGTTATAATTTCAGTAACCTTAAAATAATATTAATTTTTCATACATTTAATAAAAAAGATCCCCGCAATTTTATCCACAATTATATAATTTTTTATTTTTTATTATTTTTTCGTACTTGACGATAGTTAGATATTAAATGACAAATCAGACTTTCGATGAAATTATGTAATGATAAACTATCTGATTTTACTTAAAGACAATTAGGATTTCATTCAACTGGCGAACAATGACTGATAATGTATATGCGCGTACGAATTAAAATCACATTTTTTCATACGAGTAGTAATGAAAATATGACATATATTAATCTTGTGACATTTGACGATGAATTATGACAATGACGATGACGATGATGTAATAAAATAAATGACAGCACCAATGTAGTTCTGTTTTGTTACAAATATGTGCTGCATGTACACGGTAATATCAGGACAGTAACATAATGTAAGATGAGAGTAACAAAGTTACGCTACATTTATATAGATATGATAGTAACAAATATTATGTAACCTGTTAGCTCCATGTTACATAACCGTTAAGTTCCTGCATTGTAACAAATGTCATGTAACTATTTAGCTCTATGTTACGTAACCGTTAGGTTATTACATTGTAACAAACGTTATGTTATTTGTTAGTTTTAAGTTACGTTAAGTTAAAATGGCGTAACGGTTACCCAATGCTTTTTTAAATAATAATTATATTGCAACTGTTGGGTAAATATTACCGTTGCCGAGCAGGAGAACCTAAGTGAATCTCGTCGGTAGCAGCATAACGGCAATGCGACAAATGAGCGGCCGGCAAAGTGTTAAGTTTCATTTGAAATTGTACATTCGTTATTATTTCTATTTTTCTTCATCTAACTTTACGTAAATTCTTATATTATCGGATTAATCAATTTGTCGATTTTTATTTATTTTTTTTGCTTCTTTTTTTTTCTGAAAAAAAAATCTAAATGCTCGCGGATACGTTTCTTCCTTCACCTAATTATCGACTTAAGTTAACAAAGTTCGAGTAACTCAAATTATTCTAGTACTGGACTCGTCAAGGCATTACTTATTCGTTTATTTGAGTCCTGTTGTACCCGTCAACTCGTCATTGACTTGAATTGCTGCGCTAAATGTGCGCGGTTACGTTTCTTCCTTCACCTAATTGTCAACTTAAGTTAACAAAGTTCGAATAACTCAAGTTGATCAAGTACCTGACTCGTCAAGGCATTACTTATTCGTTCATTTGAGTAGTTTTGTCTTCACCAACTCGACATAAACTCAACTTGTCGTGTTGAATGCATGCGATTACGTTCCTCCTCCCAGAATATCGACTTGGCTTAATAAAGTTCGAGTAACTCCAGTTGTCAACTCGAATTAACAATTTTCGAGTAACTCGAGTTAACAATGTTCGAGTAATTCGAGTTGTCCACTCGAATTAACAATGTTCGAGTAACTCGAGTTAATAACGTTCGAGTAATTCGAGTTAATAATGTTCGAGTAACTCGAGTTAATAACGTTCGAGTAACTCGAATTAATAATGTTCGAGTAACGAGTTAATAATGTTCGAGTAACTCGAGTTGCCAACTCGAGTTAACAATGTTCGAGTAACCCGAGTTGTTGACTTGAGTTAACAATGTTAATAAATCGATTTGACTCAGAACTCGACTCGTCACATCGGTACAATCTCGGCCTTTAAACGTTTAATGTAAGAATAACATGGGCTGTTCAATAGGTGGGCAGTCTTCTGGGTCTGGAGCCAGGTGCTCTGACGGATGTGCGCGTGGGAAGAGCGGAAGTGACGTTCAAGGTGACAGAGAACGAGAAGAAGTATAACGCCTCCGACGTGCTCGATCGAATAGGTAACCCTAGTAGCGCAAAATATTTGTCCTATATTTTCTATATATTTAACGAATACCATACATTCTTTTAAATATTTAACGAAGATTTTAATTATATCTGCTAAACATTTGCTTTAGAATATTATTTGTATAATGTTAGCTCCAGGTATTTTCCTCATATCTCGTCATACGATAATTTTTAATTGCAAAATTCCATCGAGAAGGCGCTCTTGGCCTTAAATCAGAAAAAACAAATCTGAAGTTCTTGGACCCCTAAAGTGGGGACGATATCAATACATGGCATTATATCTCCCTATACCACTTCGCCATGTTGGATACGTTGTTCGTTGGTTTTTTACTATTTTATGCTTTAGACGTTTAGTTTAAAGTAGAAAATCGAAAGATCGATTGATACGTTGAAAACCTTGGAAAGCGAGAAATTACCCAACCCTACTCGAGGTCATCCTTAACAAGATCGTGCAAAAATTTCAGGAGACATTCGCGGGAAGCTGTGGGACTCATTGGGAGTGGAGGTGCTTCGAGCAGGAATAGGAGACAAGGTAGAGTAATACAATCTATATCGGGTCTAAAACTACGAGCCCATGGAAAATTTAGTATATTTACACGTGCTCCCTTGCACCGGTTTCACATTTACCGATGATTACTACCAACTATTACTACTTAATGGTGTTAAGCGTGGCATAAAAGCCGTTTTTGCCCTTATTGTTGGTAAAATTGAAGTAAAACGGCGTTTACACGGAATATAACATGAATGATTGTTAACTCCGGTAATTGTAACATCGGTATAAGCTAGCACGTGTAAATGTACTCGGTGACTTTCGAGAGTAACTGTCGATAATTACTCTTAGGTGTCCACTTAGGAGTGATATTTGTAAGTTTTATTCACGGGAAGCGCTTGTAGAAGTTGGTTTATTCCATGAATATGGGAATAAAGAGGACTGAGCATCAGAGTTCGAATCAAAGAAGTACTCTAGTCGTTGCATCGCTTCGACTCGAGTCATTTTACTCTCCAATTCGCCTTTAACTCGACTAGTCGCCCTGAATGTATGCGGCATCGAGTCGTCGACTTGAGTTGGTAACGTTCGAGTAACTCGAGTCGATGAAGGACTCGACTCCTTATATCGCCTCGACTCGAGTCGCCGTTAATCGAGTCATTTTACTCTCCAATTCGTCATTGACTCTACTCCTCGCGCCGAATATATACGGCATCGTGTCGTCGACTCAAATTCAGAACATTCGAGTAACTCGAGTCAATGAAGTACTCGACTCCTTATATCGCCTCGACTCGAGTCGCCATTAATCGAGTCATTTTACTCTCCAATTCGTCATTGACTCGACACATGGCGCCGAATATATGCGGCTTTGAAACGTCGACTCGAGTTGGCAACGTTCTTGTAATTCGAGTCGATAAACTACTCAACTCTTTATATCGCTTTGACTCGAGTCGTCGCTAATCGAGTCACTTTACTCTCCAATTCGTCATTGACTCGACACATCGCGCCGAATATATGCGGCACCGTGTCGTCGACTCGAGTTGGCAACGTTCGAGTAATTCGAATCGATCAAGTATTCGACTCGTTGCATCGCTTCGACTCGAGTTGTCATACTGAAGAATTCGCCATCGACTCTCCTCGCCGCGTAGAATGTACGTGTCATCGAGTTATCCACTCGAGTCCAAACTCGAGTTGTCAATGGCTTGAAATTCAAGTAACTCGAGTCGGTAAAGTATTCGACTCGTCACACCGCTAGACACGAGTCATAAGTTACCTCTATTCCTATGTCCATGGGTAGGACCCAGTCCCATAAGAAGTTTCACCCAAAAGACGACAAAGACCATCCAATTCGTGATTTCAGGCGAAGCTGCCGGCGACCCTGGAGGTTATAAACGGTCCGGAGGAAGACTCGACCGCGTTCACGGTCATGGTGGCGGCCGGGGCGGCGACGGCGGGCGCCGCGGCGATCCTGATCGTCCTGATCGCCCGCCGACACGCAGCAGCCCGCGCCAAGTTGGCCGGCCTCGCGACCCACGACCCGGAGGCCTCTAAGGACTACCAGGATCTGTGCCGGGCGAGGATGCAGGCGAAGCAGCCAGCCGAGAAGCCGGAGTCGCCGCGCGTCATCAGCCTCTCCCGCGAGAGCGACTCGGCCAACTCGCCCTCCAACCGTTCCAGCACATCGTCCTGGGGCGAGGAACCCGCGCTGACCAACATGGACATATCAACTGGGCACATGGTCTTGGTAATCCAGATTCGCCAAACTCCAGGGAGTCGCTTCCATTGACAAAGAATCTTCCCACCTAGTTCCTCATCTAGCTTGTTCTGATATGCCGCGAACTCCCGTTTAAGGGAGTATTATCGTCTAGAAGCGTGTTTTTTAAGTAATTTTTAGGAATTAATTTTGCGAAAACTGTCAAACCTACAGTGCCGGGGTTTTTTACGCATATTAAGACACGTTTCAACTAGCAACACAAATTTGTATGAAATTCTTTGTTGAAATCTATGCAAGTTATGCGCTCTTATGCAGGTCGTTGCGGGAGAACTTTTTTTTTTTAATCTATATGAATGTAGTTATTGTCCGAACTAGAACTAAGTAAGTACGAAATTTTTTATCGGAATCGCAGCTGTTTGAAAATTAAGGTTTCATTTTCCCGGAAAATTTTCAACTAAAACATGAGAGCGGGGCTAAAATATTCAAGCTATCGGTATCATTCTAGTTCGGACTAAAGTCATTACTGAGTAATGAGCAAGTGCTAGCCCAAGACCCAAGATTATCATGGCCTTGGTGTTGCACTTTTGTATTCTCCAAGATTGGTATTGCTTAGTCGAGTCCTGGTTTTGGTCTTACAATTAGGGTTAAGTCTTCATCTCGATTTTGATCTTGCACTTTTTGCAAAGCTGCAAGACGAAGACTGATTTTGCTAATCCCTACGTTTACTTACGAACAAACGCAAGGCCAAGACCAAGACCACCATGATCTTCAACTTAAGCCGGTCGCGTCTTGGTCTTGTAACTATGATCGGGAAAAAGGACCAAAATTGCAAGACCAAGACCGATTTTCCTCATTATCACGTTTCTGACGAGCAAATGCAAGACCAAGACCAAAACTACCGTGATCTTAGATTTGGTCTTGATCGTGGATACTCGAGGCTTGATCTTATCTAGTCGCGTCTGGGGTTAGTAATTATCATCGGGCTAAGAGACCAAGACCGATTTTGTTCATCACTACATTTACTGACGAACAAATGTAAGGCCAAGACCAAGACTACCATGATTTTGGATTTGGTCTTGATCGTGCATACACGAGGCCCGATCTTACCCAGGCGAGTCTTGGTCTTGTAATTATGAAGGGGAAAAAAAATCAAAATTGCAAGACTAAGACTAATTTTCCTCATTTCTGCGTTCACTGGCGAACAAATGCAAAGCCAAGACCAAAACTACCCTGATCTTGAACATGGTATTTATCGTGCATACTCGATCTTGCTCGGCCGCGTCTTGGTCTTGTAACTATAATCAGGCAGAAATACCAAAACTGTAAGACCAAGACCAAGACCGATTGCGTTCATTGCTACGTTTACTGACGAACAAATGCAATGCCAAAACCAAGACTACCGTGATCTTGGACTTGGTCTTGATCATGCATACATGTTCGGGCGCATCTTGGCCTTATCATTTCGACTGGTCAAACAGATGAAGACCGATTGCGTTCATCGCTACCAACCGCACCTCTTTCTTCCAGTCGTACATGGAGGACCACCTTAAGAACAAGGATCGACTGGACCAGGAATGGACGGGTCTCTGCGCGTACGAAGCCGAGCCGTCGTCGACCGGCATCGCCGAGGATCCCGAGAACGTGGATCGCAACAGACCCGGAGCGGTTCTCCCGTACGACCACTCGAGGGTAGTACTCAACGACCTCGCCAACGTCAACAGCTCGGACTACATCAATGCCTCCACCATCGTAAGTTTCGGCGCGCCTTCGGGACCGGTTACGAGTATATGTCCAGGACGGCATCGCTTGTAGCGCGCGTTTCGAGGTCGCGTCCCCCAAGGGGTTCCACTTAGTTCCATGATATCCCACATTGGCGCACTATCATTCGCAGGCGACATAAGACGTTTTCAGCTGGACCATACATTTTTACCCTAGGCTAAACTAGGGTAAGAAGATCTAGTCCAGCCCGGCATCATGTCTAGGGCGGCATTGCTTGTAGCGCGCGTTTCGAGGACGCGTCCCCTGAGGGGTTCCACTTAGTTCCATGACATCCCACATTGGCGCACTATCATTCGCAGGCGACATAAGACGTTTTCAGCTGGACCATACATTTTTAACCTAAGGCTAGACTAGGGTAAAAAAGCGTAGTCCAGCCCGGCATCATGCCTAGGACGGTATCGCTTGTAGCGTGCGTTTGAAGCGTGCGAAGACGCGTCCCCTGCGGGGTTCCACTTATTGTTAGTTCCATGACATCCCACGTCAAAGTGTACACTTTTCGTTAAAGTGTAGAAAGTGTGGGCAAAACGAACAAACCTATTAAGGTGAAGTGAAACCCCCTTCAAATCATTTGATTCGAATACAACACTTTTTTTAAGGGTATTGGACCAAACTGTCCGAAACTTTGACACATCACTCGTGATCATCTAAGAATTGTCCTGACACGTTCAACTTTTGGATTTTTGGAAAGAATTCTTTAACTTAGCCCAGACCAGAGCCAAAATGGCGTCGAGCTCTCATATTTCGATCAATATCCAATTATCGAAGGCTCTGATATCAGAAACGAAAGGGCCAGGACAATTTAAGACAATTCAGAACACTCTGGTAATCGATAAACTCGCATTTGAACGGGATAAAGGCAAAAAAAGTGTTTTATGCGCTTCTATGTCAAAACGATGGAAATACGAGGTCTTGGAGTGAAAATTTAATTGACCTGGAAATCACAGATGGCGCAGGGTGTCCCTCTGCAGCCAATTAGGGCCCCAGAAAGCTCGAATCCAGGGGATTTCTGGAGTTTTACTTGGATTTCTTTATAATTATTGTACTAAAACGACAGGTGGAGGATGCCATTTAGTGCAATACCCAATATAATTCGACACAGCTGTCAATATAAAAACGAACGTCGGCCACGTAGGTATTTAGAAAAATCTTCTGTATCGACGTCGACACAAGTTCCTCGACGAGTTTCACTTCGCCTTAATTCGCCGCCCTGAATAAACGTCAGCTATGGTCGGGAACTTGTCCAATGCCGCGCGTAAGCCCGCAAAGAGTGCGATCACGTACCTACGAGGAATGACTTTTCTCCTGGATGCCGCCGTGACAATCAGAAGCCGGTGAGTGACTCAACATAGCATGAAGACTATTGACCCGCTAGCGATCGGTGCGGGACCTAGGGCGGTTCGATATCTAAAATTCAATAGCGGTACTCGATAACCTCTACTTACTGGTAACTATCGATATATCAAAGTTTCGTTATTTATCGAAGTCCGCGTTTCCATTTTTCATTGCAAGCAAAGATGTTCGGGAAGATGTTCCACTCTATTGTCGAAAGGAAAGCATGGCTCACTAGCACCGTGAAAGGGCTTTCAAAGGGACGAAATGTTTTCTATCGGTAAAGAAACACCCTTTTGCATATACGGTACAGTATCGATAGAATGAAGTTACCGCCTTTTCCTTTTTAGTATCAGGGTCAACGTAGATTGGGAAAGAAGACTACGAATCCTGAGTCAATTTGTTATGCGTGGATGATTGAGATTACGACGCAGCTCGTATGTATATCCTGTTTTACCGATCACGAAGATTTCCCCCCTTTGAAAGTAGTTCCAATTTTTACACAGGGGTGAAGAGTGTAGAGGGCGCTATGGGCCGCGCCTTCCTTTCAAACGATGGCGGGAAACATCTCCCCGTTCATCTATGATCACCATACAGGAAGAAATAATCACTATTAACACTTTAACGACCGCTCACACAACATGTGTGTGATAGCGTATGACTGCGTAGACGGGCGGTCTTTAAAGTGTTAAGGAAGTTGACTACTGTTTACAGTTTGTCTTAATTTCATTCGGTCTTGTTTCGTTGCTGGTAGACAATAAAGATCCGTTCCACTCGAGAATTTCTTGTTTTCTAGAAAGTGCGTTTCCTTCGCTCAGTGTAGCAAACGGACGAAGGGCTAAAATGGCGAAAATGTTTTAGACGGACCACGACCCAAGGAACCCCGCGTACATAGCCACCCAGGGACCGCTGCCTAGCACCTCCTCGGACTTCTGGCAGCTGGTCTGGGAGCAAGGGAGCGTCGTCATCGTCATCCTGACCAGGCTGACCGAGGAAGGGAACGCGATGAGTCACCGTTACTGGCCCGAGGAAGGTTCCGAGCTCTACCACATCTACGAGGTCCATCTGGTCTCGGAGCACATCTGGTGCGACGACTACTTGGTGCGCTCCTTCTACCTGAAGAACCTCAGGACGGGGGAGACCAGGACGGTCACGCAGTTCCACTTCCTCTCGTGGCCGGCCAACTCGGTGCCGCACTCCACCAAAGCGTTGCTGGAATTCCGCAGGTGGGCCTTGGCAGAATGTGGCGTCGGCAGTTAACCCTTTGCGGACGAGACTTTTCCATTATAAAGGCTTTTGGGCGACTATTTGGCGACATTCGTCCGCAAAGGGTTAAGGTGAAGTGAAACATCCTTCAAATCAGTCGATTCGAATACAACACTTTTTTTTAAGGGTATTAGACCAAACTGTCCGAAACTTTGACACATCACTCCTGATCATTTAAGAATTGTCCTGACACATTCAAATTTTGGATTTTTGGTAAAAATTGTTTAACTTAGACCAGACCAGAACCAAAATGGCGTCGAGCTCTCATATTTCGATGAATATACAATTATAGAAGGCTCCGAAATACGAAACAAAAGGGTCAGGACAATTTTACGACAATTTATAACACTCCGGTAATCGATAAACTCGCATTTTAACGGGATAAAGGTAAAAAAAAGTGTTGTATGCGCTTCTATGTTAAAACGATGGTAATACCAGGTCTCGGAGTGAAAATTTAATTGACCTGGAAATCACAGATGGCGCAGGGGTCCCTTCGCAGTCAATTAGGGCCCCAGAAGGCATGAATCCAGAGGATTTCTGGAGTTTTACTTCGATTTCTTTATAATTATTGTACGAAAACGACAGGTGGAATATGCCATTTGGTACAATACCCGATATAATTCGACCCAGCTGTCAATATAAAAGCGAGCGTCGGCAACGTAGGCATTTAGAAAAATCTTCTTTGTCGACGTTGATCAAGTTCCTCGACGTGTTTCACTTCACCTTAAGTCAACGGTACCTACCTTGCCGACATACATTGTTCGGCATCAGCAATTATTTCACATCTGGCCACATGCGTTTTAATAATCTTTTATCTGACTCGGGTCACCAACCATCTATTTTAATTGATGGTAAATGAAATACTCTTTTGGTATAAAAAGAATAGTTATTAGTATTAAGCCAATTTGGCAGAGAGGAACTTTCTTCTTCTTACGAACTTAATAGACCGCGCTTTCTGGTACATTCCTTTTCTTAGTTCTATCTTCTACTAGAGATGAGTTGGGAGATTGCTCACGGGCAGGATCGCGCGATCGCATCGTGTGCTGCCCTCTGGTTTCGTACGTTAGCTTTCACCGTTTTTTGCCCCCAAGGGCGGCGCAACGAATTTCTGGTAGGGGCTCGCTAGAGTTCTAAATCCAGTAAGTTACGTCAGAAACGAAGAGAAATTCCCGGTAACTTATCGGTAATTTCTCCAAAGCCTTTTTTATCGAGAAATTATGAGAATTTGAATTTTTCAACAGAGCGAACGAGAGGTTTCGATTAGCTATAGAGAAACATCGTAGAGGGGAATTTCCGTTGTACGTTCTCCGTAGCCAATCAAAACCTCCCATTCGCTTCGTCGCAGAATGAAATATCAGTTCGTTTGAAACAAATGGCATGGAATTTTCCGTGAAGTTGTAGATACGTGAATATTTTTAGCTGGAGGTAAATACGACCCTATAATCAATATTTTCTAATGGTAATTATTACTCTTTAGCTTGAACTTTGAAGTTGATTGAAAAAAAAAAGTTATTTAAACGAAGAAACCTAAAGTATAAATAACAAAATTAACGCTCTCTTAAATTCTCAATGTTCCCGGTAACTTACGATATGTTTCACAGTTACCTTCTCCAATTTAATGTTACCGAGAATTTTCGAACTCTAGGTCGGTCCTGACACTTATACAATTTCATTTTTTATCACTTTTCCTTGGTTTTTCAGGAAGGTTAACAAGTCCTACCGAGGCAGGTCCTGTCCCATCGTCGTTCATTGCAGGTACGTACAGCACTTTATTAAGGGTGACCGGAAAGGAATAGATATTTAAAAAACGGTACATTATTAATTAATGCCCATCAAGCACACAATGTTACAATTACATGACACTGGCATATCGTAATACATAACAGAAGTTATTCAAAAGATACATTGATATTATGAAATACCGAGTTAGCATCGGTCCTTAACGTTGTTACAACCTGTTTGTATTGCAGTTATATAATATTAACGTAACACATTACATGTCCTCGATATGTAATGTATATGTAAAATTATTCATTTTATAACGGTGTTATATAATTGTGTAAGAAATGTCAATATAAATGTTATACACATGTAATGTGTATGTACATGCCATGTTATAGAGACATGTAATTATTGTTGTTGCGTAACTGTGTTTGGTGGGTGGGTAGTTTATTATATAATGCCGTTGTGTGAGTCCTATACGTGCAAAATACCCACACATTTTTCGCCCGTTGCTAAACACCGCTCATTGTGCGTCGCGTCTCTTTCATCCGAGCGATAAAGTACGTTTTGGTTACCTTTCACCGAATTCGATGCTAATGCCATCTAGCGGTGGAAGTCATCGTCTACATTTTGATGGTGAACGCCTTTAAGGTGAAGTGAAATCCCCTTCAAATCAGTCGATTCGAATACAAGACTTTTTTTTAAGGGCATTAAACCAAACTGTCCAAAACTTTGACACATCACTCGTGATCATCTAAGAATTGTCCTGACACATTCAAAATTTGGATTTTTTAAAAAAACGTTTTAACTCTGCCCAGACCAGAAATAAAATGGCGTCGAGCTCTCATATTTCGATCAACATCCAATTATCGAGCGCTCTGATATGAAAATCGAAAGTGTCAGAACAATTTTACGACAATTTAGAACACTCTGGTAATCGATAAACTCGCATTTGAACGGGATAAAGGCAAAAAAAAGTGTTTTATGCGCTTTTATGCTGAAACGATGGGAATACGAGGTCTTGGAGGGAAAATTTAATTGACCTGGAAATCACAGATGGCGCGGGGGGTCCCTCTGCAGCCAATTAGGGCCCCAGAAAGCATGAATCCAGTGGATTTCTGGAGTTTTACTTCGATTTCTTTATAATTATCGTACGAAAACGACAGGTGGAGTATGCCATTTGGTACAATACCCAATATAATTCGACCCAGCTGTCAATATAAAAACCAACGTCGGCAACATAGGCATTTATAAAAATCTTCTTTATCGACATCGATCAAGTTCCTCGACGTGTTTCACTTCACCTTAACGCTTTTCTCCGACTTTTCAGCGATGTCGCCGGACGCACCAGGACCTACTGCTTGATCAAGTTCCTCTACGTGTTTCGCTTCACCTTAACGCTTTTCTCCGACTTTTCAGCGATGGCGCCGGACGCACCAGGACCTACTGCTTGATCAAGTTCCTCTACGTGTTTCGCTACACCTTAACGCTTTTCTCCGACTTTTCAGCAATGGCGCCGGACGCACCAGGACCTACTGCTTGATCAAGTTCCTCTACGTGTTTCACTTCACCTTAACGTTTTTCTCCGACTTTTCAGCGATGGCGCCGGACGCACCAGGACCTACTGCTTGATCAAGTTCCTCTACGTGTTTCACTTCACCTTAACGCTTTTCTCCGACTTTTCAGCGATGGCGCCGGACGCACCGGGACCTACTGCTTGATCGACATGGTCTTGAACCGGATGGCGAAGGGTGCGAAGGAGATCGACATCGCGGCCACCCTGGAGCACATCCGCGACCAGAGGCCGGGGATGGTGGCCACGAAGCAGCAGTTCGAGTTCGTCCTCATGGCGGTGGCCGAGGAGGTCCACGCGATCCTGAAGGCGTTGCCGAATCCTTCGATCGACAAGTCGACGGCGCCGGCCGCCACGACGAGCACCGGCAAGGGCCAGTAAAAGGACGACCCCGAAGGCCGGTCAGGACGCCGATTTGGCCCTCGACGGACCGTACAAACTTGAAGACGAGACAAGCGAATCGGCGCGCCCAAAGCTCGACGGACTCGCGACAGAAACGGCTCTACGGTGCTGGGAAGGCTGATCACTAATTATTGGCCTGGGAAATAGATCTCGATCGAAATGATCAACTAGTCGATCCACTTCCCGCGGAACGTTTAACCGATTGATTAGGAGACATTTTTAGATGGTTCTCCAAACTTCCACCTTAAGGGGTTACACCACTTTGACGCACCCAAAAATTACGGTTTTTTAAAAAAATTTTTTTTAAGAGTTAAAACGTTTTTATCCAAATTAAAGTACTGTAAGGTATTATACTACTATTAAACTCGCTCACTGCGAAAATCGGTGATCGTGCGGTGGGCAGGTGTATAGGTGTAAACGCGTTTTTCTTAAAACTGCATTTTAAAAATCGGTGGGCACTCTAGCTCCGCCAATTTTCAATCGATCGTTTTGATTCCTTTTTTATTTTATTCGTGATATGTTTATCTAGCGAAATACGTATGGTTTTTTCAATGTATTGATATTCGCGTTTTTTATGCAACATTAATTAACGAAATTTAGGGCAAAATACGTATCTTTCCTTTCGAATCGATGCCATTTTGTGAAGAATGCATATTTTTGAAAACGGCTACGTATTTCGCTAGCTTTTGGGCTACGGAAACTAATTCTTTTGTCGTTTATTGTTCTAACTTAAACTTGGACTGAATTATCGTGCCCACCGCCCGATCATCGATTTTCGCAGCGCTCCGGTAAATCGCCTTTCAAGCCGGCATTTTTGTAAATAAGAAAAATACAAAAAAGCATTTTTTTGTTTAATAGTAGTATGATACCTTCCTGTACTTTAATTTGGATAAAAACGTTTTAATTCTTAAAAGGGAATTCTTGAAGAACCGTAATTCTTGGGTGGGTCAAAGTGGTGTAACCCCTTAACCCTTTGCACTCCTATGTCGAGTATGTCTCGATAATTACAAGGCGATTTCATAAACTTGGGGCGCAAAGGGTGATGTGAAAGGGTCATTCTATATATGTATATATATGAACCGTAAAATATTTATAACACTTTTCTCCGAACTGGGTGCATCAAATAATATGAAGCTTCAACATGTGATTATGGAAGCCCTAAGGATGAACGCGATTCTCGTGAAATTTCATATTTAAAAAGAAAAATGTAATTTTGGTTCTAACATAAGCTACATAAAATTAATTTTGTTGGAAAAATGAAATTTCACGAGCATTGCGTTTTTCTTTAGGGTCTCCGTAATCACGTGTTAACATTTTCAATTATTTGGGGCACACAGTTTGCAGAATAATTTTATAAATATTTTGACGTTTTTATATATGGAACGTCAAAATATTTATAAAGCTTATCCCCAAACTGGGTGCACCGAATAATATGAAGCTTTAACATGTGATTATGGAAGCTCTATGAATGAACTCGATTCTCGTGAAATTTCATTTATAAAAAGAAAAATGAAATTTTGGTTCTAGCATAAACTAGATAAAATTTATTTTGTTGGAAAAATGAAATTTCACGAGCATTGCGTTTTTTTTTTAGGGCCTCCATAATCCCGTGTTAACATTTTCAATTATTTGGAGCACACAGTTTGGAGAATAATTTTATAAATATTTTGACATTTTCTTATGTAGAACGTCAAAATATTTATAATGCTTATCTCCAAACTGGGTGCACCGAATCATTTGAAACGGCAGCACGTGATTATGAAGACCCTAAGGAAGAACGTGGTGCTCGAGAAATTCCATTTTTCAACAGAAATAATATATTCTTGGTTCTAGTCTGGGATAAATAAAAAGTAATTTTTTTTATTTATAATGAAATTTCACGACCATCATATTCTTCCTTAGGGCCTCTGTAATCACGTGTTACAATTTCAAANATAACAAATTAAAAAAAAAATTGAAATTTCATGGGCGTCTCGATCTTTCTTAGTCTCCATATTCACTATGTAAAGTTTGATACGATTCGGTAAATCCAGTTCGAAAAAAAGTTTCATAAACATAACCTCTTTGACGCCACATTCACATCACCTTAAGAAATGATTCAATGAGACGTTTTGTTATCTACTCACACCCTTAATATGAAGTCGCAAATACGCATTTATACACTTTAAAGCGGTATTTTAGGGAACCTTCTGAAAGTTTCTCCGAATCCCTAAATTAAACGTCTCGTTGATAAAGAATAATGACTTTTTGAGAGCTTTGACGCAGAACTTTTCGCTGAGTCCAATACAAATCATTCGTAATATTGTGTAAGGGTATGATGCGCTACACTGAGCGAAAAAGTCACTTCCTGTATATATAAAAAAAAAAAGGGAATTCCTCTGGAAAGAAGATCCTTACTTGCTATTATCAACGAAATAAATTGTAGGGTCGATCGAACGCAATTAATATTCATTTCAAACGATATTAAAATTCCTTAACCTTGAAATTCTTATTATTCATTATCGTTAGATTTTTTGTATATAAATGACTCGAGGTTAAAATTTTATTCGTTTGAAAATGTGAATAATTTTGGAGGAATTAACAACATTTTTGTACCAAGATAGGGTCAAAAAATCTCGGTAGAGTTTCGAGCCAAATACATTTGGCCAAATTCATAAAGGGCTCGAGGTTAAAATTGTATTCGTTTGAAAATGTGAATTATTTTGGAGGAATTAACAACATTTTTGTACTAAGATAGAATTTAGAAACTCGATAGAGTCTCGAACCAAATACATTTGAGCGAGAAACTCGTTCGATGGACCCAAAGTAAGTCCGATGACTTCTCTCAGAATTCTGTCACTTGTCAATGAACTCATTGCATCAACTTAAAGCAATAATTATTCGCAATTTATAATCTTTTACATCGAGTATTAAGTTATTCGAGTTGAGTACATTTTATCCAAAAGGTGATACAAGTTCTATTGATATTTCCCATGCCTGAACTTTGTACAAGAAACGTTTGATAGCAAAATAGTTTCCCCTCGATACAAAATTGTCATCAACCCACAATGATTTTTATACAATCAATTTCGCTGGTGCCAAGAAATTTCTTTAGCAAGGAACATTTATATTGCGAGTAATTATCCTCTAGGAAGTAAATCTTTCGCTCAGTGTACTTCAGGGATGTCTCCCTAGGGTGGCTTTGATTTACTCTTGGCAAAAATTTGTTTGCGATTTTTTTGTTCACACTCTCCCCCAATTTGGTTCCATTTCATGCAATAATAATTCAAAGAGTAAAATTTGAGCTTAACTTTGCAACGTGAACATGGAGGCTCTAAAGAAGGTCCTGACACTCACGAAATTTCATGTTTTATACAAAATTTTGAAATTATCTATAAACAAATTATTGAAAAATTGAAATTTCATGGGCGTTAGGACCTTCTTTATAACTTTCTTATTCATATTGTCAAGTTTGAAACGATTCGGTACACCCAGTTTGGAGAAAAGTTTCATAAACGAGACCCCTTTGACGCCACTTTCACATCGCCTTAAAGAATCCATTTTATTTCTTACAGCGCTCCATGCTTTTTCGTATTTTTCTCGGAAACAGTTAGTCATACGAGAAAAAGTCGTAGGTAATACCATCAGGATTTTTAATAGATCTACAAGTTTTGTATAAAGCTTTTTTCCATATAATTGATATTTTGCAAGTTAACAAATAAAATTGATATTTTCTTTGATTTTGTTTTCGTTTTTTTTCATTTTCAAGGGCCCAGGGGCCCTTTCCGTATGTCCGATTAAGCTGAAATTTTACGTGAATTAATTGAACATAAAATGGAACCAAATTTCGGAGGGGGGTAGAGCGAAAAAGAAATCGCAAAGAAATGTTTTCCAGGAATAAATAAGAACCACCCTAATGTCTCCCATTTCGGAGGCTCTTGAGGAACGACTACGAGGAGTTTCTCTGTTTATTTTCGTACGAATTTACTTTATCTATCGATATTACGCTTTCATCGACGTTTAATGGACCGGGCTTTTCTGAGGAGGAGCTCTTATCGAGAAGAGATCGAGCCGATCCTGAAATCCGGTACAATGCGATTCCTAATCAGCGTTAACTTACTTTTGCGCTTCGACGCTTTTCTTTTCCGCACTGAGTGAAGAAATCACATCGTAGAAAAAAGAAAATCTTGAGATGAGATCTTTACTGGCATTTAATTAAAAAAATTAAGCGTTTAAGATGATATGAAAGGATCATTCAATATAAATAAATACCAAAAAGTTAAAATCTTTATAAAACTTTTCTCCAAAGTGGGTGCGTCAAATAATTTGAAACGTTAGCACGTGATTATGGAGACCCTAAAGAAGAAGGCGACGCTCGTAAAATTTAATTTTTTACCAAAAAATGTGATTTTGATTCTAGTTTAGGCTAAATAAAAAAAAACTTTTTTTTTTGGGAAAAATGAAATTTCACGCGCTCCACGTTCTTCCTTTGGGTTTTACTAATCACGTGCTGAAGTTTCAAATGATTTGGTGGGGCCAGTTTGGAGGAAAGTTTTATGAACATTTAGACGATAGATAGAATTTAGATATATATTTAGAATGACCCTTTCATATCACCTTAAGGGGATACATTTTTTTTTTGTTTATAAAACTTTTCTAACAACTCGGTTTACCAAATAGTTTGAAACTTTGCAATATGAAGAGGGAGACTATAAGGAAGGTCCTGAAACTCATGAAATTTGAAATCTTTTCAAATTAGTTTATAGGTATTTAAAAAATAGTTTATAAAAAATGAAATTTCGCGTGTTTAAGGACCTACCTTAGGGTCTCCATATCCACGTTTTAAAGTATGAAACGATTTGAGACACCCAGTTCGGAGAAGTTTTATGAATGATTGAGCTTTCGGATGCCACTTTCACATCCCCTTAAGCAAAAACATTTAGATCGCCGCAAGTAATTAATCTCGCCTGGAAAGTAAATTTTTTAGCTCGGTGCGGGTTTTTCAGATAGGAGGGGATCTTTTACACGTCCCGGCGATATTTTTCTAGAACCGGAAGTGGAGCCTTCACGCACACGACGCGTACACGGCCTATTTTCTCATATAATTCGTTAACAAATGAATACGTAATTTAAGTGTACCGCGTACTAGTCGAAAGTACGTTCGGTTGGATTTTTGCAATTTTCTTGTTTTTCCATAAGC